GTTGTAGCATTAACTCTATGAAGTACCTTAACTTCATGACTGCAATCTTCTATTCAATGTCGTAATATACTTTTTGATTCTCAATTTATTAAATTCTTAATGATTTTCTTGATCTTCATTCTACAGCGGCATGCCAACATAAATAATAGATTCTTGATTCTCTCTATCTCTCACTCGCTCTCTCTTTGTGTCTCACTAGCTACTATATTAGCTTCGTAAGAACTAAACCAAAGGATACAAATAGAAATGTCCAATCTAGAGAATCAATTGGGCATGAACTCATTGAAAATAATAGTTAGTCTAGTCTTCATTCTCAATTATTGATTCTACACACTCATACTTGTCAATTCTAATAATGAGGCAATCATTCTTGTGTCATCTTTGTGGGAGGAAGATGACAAAGAATCTACTTCCTTAAATCTAGAAAAATTGGACCAAAAGTTACTTTGTCTATGAAATAATCAAAGTTAAGCAAATGAAGTCATTATTCTTGTATCATTTTCATGAGAGAAAAATGACAAAGAAACTCCTCTGTTAGGTCCATCGGAATTAGACCAAAGGTCACTCCACTAGCAAAGTAATCAAAGTCAATAAAATTAGGTAATCATTCCCGCGGGATGGAGAAGACAAAATAGTAGCTCCTCTTTTAGTTTTGTTAGAACCGAATCAAAAGATGTCGAAGGAGTTTAATATGGAGAATCAATTCATCATAAACTTATTGAGAATAATGTTTGATCTGGTCTTTGTTCTCAAGGACTGGATGTACACATTCATGCTAGTCATTATCATTGTATTCAATACCGTCATGATCTTTGTGACCATATGATGTCTATGGAGATATTTTTGCAGCATCAACTATATAAAGTACTTTAACTACTTCACATATGTGATCCTCCTAGTAGATTGTCTCTTGTGATAGATCTCTCATCAAAGCCATGAAATATTTTTTTAGTTCTCAAGTTTTTAAATTCTTAATAATCTTTTTGATCTTCATTCTTCAGTGACATGCCAATACAAATAATAAATTCTTGATTCACTCTCCCTCTCTCCCTCCCTCTTGAGAACGACACATGTGAGAAGCATTACCTCCCCCACATGCCTAGTAGGATGTGAGGGGTAGGAGGGGGAGGAAGCGAGAGATTTGATAGGAGCTCCTACAATGGAGATAGAAGGTAGAGGGAGACGGGGAAGAGGTAGTGGCACAAGGGAAGGTGATGATGATGCTCTCCACGAGTGTGGTTGCCTCCTACTGTCTCTATGATTGGCACCTTTTTGGTGGAGCTTTCTCATGTTCAAAGGACAAGTGGTTCTCTCAACTAGCCATGCCAGAGTTAGAGTTGAGATAGGAGCCATGACAGATGCCTCTAATGGTATTCTTGAAGCTTCTTGAAGCCACCAAGCACATGGTATGTGTTCTCAAATATGGTGTTCAAAATATGATTGATGGTGGAGGAATTTTAGATGATTATTATTATTCAGTTATTTATGTATCAAGATTTGAATGGTATCAAATAGAGAAGTAGATTATAGTTGAAGAATTTTCTCATCTTACCTTTGTGAACATATTGATCATATAAAAGAGAATAAGAATTTTTGGATGATAAGTTGTTGTCTGCTCATGATCTTTTTGGTGACGGGAGGTGACATGAGGGGATTTTGATGTGATCAAATGAAGAGAATAACTTATAGTTGAACAATTTGATAATCTTGTCTCTTTGAATAAATCAATTGATCATATAAGAGGAGAAAGTGGACTGAATCTGAAAAAGTGATATGACATGACCTTAGGAATGTTAGTCGATCTAGTTTTAATTCTCAAGGAAATGTTGTACATAATCTTAATATTCTTGAGCATCGTACTCAAGGACATCATGATCACAATGACCACATGCTATAAGAGTAGTCTCTCGTTATCAAGGGGATGAAGTATCTTAACTTGATCTCCATGATCCTCATCATAACTTGTCTCTTATTACAGATTTGTAATGCGAGCTGCAAAACACTTTTTTCATTTTCTTGAGTACATGAATTTTTTAATTCTCTTGATCTTCATTCTTTGACAGCATGTTGACAAAAATGTACCTTTTTGGAATAATAGATTCTTCTTCTCTCTCTCTCTCTCTCTCTCTCTCTCTCTCTCTCTCTCTCTCTCTCTCTCTCTCTCACACACACACACACACACACACACACACACACACTTTCTCTCTATCTCCCATGAACATCCTTTCTAATAGGCCATTTGAGGCCCTTAGATGGGTCAGGCACTTAAGAGAATGCGAGAGAAAAACGGCCCGAAAGAGGAAAAACTTTAGTTGCCTTTTAGCAACGACGATGTGGAAGAGAGAGAGAGAGAGAGAGGAGTGACTAATAAGTCTTTATTAATATGAGTTAATGATGGTTTAAATATTTATTTTATGAATTAACTCATGATAAATATCTGCAAAACATATTATAATGACCAAAAGTTTCATTATCTTCAAAACTTTTGGTCTCTTGTTTTGGACTGGTCTGCCCATCATCGGCACCCTTTGTGCAGATGACCAAAAGTTAAATATTTGCTTCAATCCGAGTGACGCAGGGCACATACTTTGTGCAATCCGAAGAACCCACTTCTTACACCTAGATAGATGACATCCCATGATGACTTATGACAAAAATAAAATAAAAATGTCAAAGACGTGAAGTGAATCAATCAGAGTCTTTGTGGGTGAACCATGGAACTGAGTTTGATTTTACTTGATCTATGACAACGGGCAACGGATCCCGTGGAGCAAGAATCTCGAGCTTGGGGACCTTCGAGCCAGACCCTCCGAGCTTCTTCTCCTCCTCCGCTCACGAGCAGAAGACAGATTCAGAGAAGAACTCGAAGAGATCCCTCTGAACTTGTGTGCAGAAGGGCAGGTGATGCCCACCAAAAATCTCCCTCCTGCAGTTCTTGATTCATCTATGAAGATCTTGGTTCTTAACCATATGCTGGAAAGCCGCATCCATGGGTATGTTTAGTTGCTAGCATGCAATGCTCACAGCCTTCTTTCCCGTTCGGCATCTTCAGCGCCATTAAAAAACCAAACACCTCCCTTGTGTGCATTGTTCTTTAAAAAAAATTATTATGTGTTCTACAATTAATGTAAGTTCTACCGGGGGTTACAGATGATGATGTTGCTGTCGCATTTGCTTCATGAGGTGCGCACCATTCGAAGAAATATGAGTCAACCAACGGTACCACCCCCACCCCACTTGCTCTCACCTATTACTCATTTGGTCAACGGAGTAGACTTCCCACCATGGAATTTCTTCCAGAGGGATATAATTCGTCATTTAAAATGTCGGTCAAACAATTTCCTAGCGAAGAACAATGGATTCCTCCATCAATGCCGCTGACAGGGACCAGTGCCGGCGGCGGCAAAGGAAGTAGCGTTCCAGAACCAAAAAACCCCCCTTCTCCGGCTCGGCATCGGCCGCCGGCGTCATCATCTCCGCTAAGTCAGCTTCGTTCGATCACCACCTCCACCTCATCGCCCTGAGGATGAGTGTGGCCCTGCTGTTCATCAGTCTTCTGCTTGGGCTCTTCAGCATTCAGCTAGGGATGTTCTTCTACCGTACTTCTCCATCGGCTTTCCGGGGGATGAAGAAGATCCTCAGTTGCTGCAACATCCACATCCCTGTTCTGGGGTTATTGGTTGATCTGGCAACATAATTATGTCATATGTGGTAAGTTCATTACGTTGTCGACTGCAAGGGAGCTGGTTGCCGAGTACCCTGTATGTATAATAACCGGCAGGAGTCTAACAGTCAAAACCAAGCAGTAGACCCACTTGGGTTGTGTCAATTGATAAGCACGAGAAGAAAGTCGGTCTAAAAGTATGGCGTTACTTTGTGGTAAAAGGCTACAAAGTTTCTTGTTTTTGGGCTCTCTCTCTCTCTCTCTCTCTCTCTCGTCCACATCGTCGTTCCTAAAAGGCCACTAAGTCCTTCCTCGTTCGGGCCATTTTTCTCTCTCTCATTCTCTCAGGGGGCTGACTCACCTAAGGGACTCAAGCGGTTTAGAAAGGATGTGCGAGAGAGGGGAGTGAGAGAGAGAGAGAGGATGGGCCGAAAATAAGTGATAACGGTCTCCTCGGATAACGGTGAGCCGACGCCCTATTGATTTCGAGAGGTCCACGATCCAGGCGGCTGTTTCGTCGTGAAGAATGGCGGCTGACCTTCCTACTCCCGAAAGACTTGAACTGCTTGACCCCCTCCTTGGGACCGGAGCCCATCTGAATTCCATACCTCTTTCGTCAAGGTGATGATCCCTGGATCTGGATGGTAATCTCATTCTTGTTCTTGCGTGGGATCTCTCCCTCTCTCTCTCTCTGATGCTGTCTCTATTTCAGCTGCTTCCGCCACCCAACCCGACGCTGTCGCCGCTGCCGACGAACCCCGCCGTCCTGATGATCCCTTTCGGCGGCCTGAACCCGCCGCCGGCGATCCCCGTCGTCCCCACCATCCCGATTCCCTCTCTTCTACTCCTCGGGGGCTCCCAGGCCTTAAGATATAATCATTTGAGCATTCTCGCAGCATTGGATTTTCCGTTCTTCTGTCCACATGTGACAAACGTCAACGCTCTCTCTCTCTATATATATGCATATATATATTATCTATGATCTTGTTTTGAAAATAATTAGAGTCCAATAGTTTATATCTACTGATTGGAAGGTTAAGTTGAAACCGGGGAAAGAGAAAAAACAAAAAAATTCTTTCTGTGGAAGGCAGCCTCACACGAGGTGCGATTCTGGCGCTCCATCAGCGAGCGGTTCAGGTAAAGACTGTGGTAGAGACACAGGGGAACACCATGCTCGTGAGGGTTCTCTTCCTGCCAATAAATTCAGAGGGTTCTCTTCGAGTTCTTCTCTGAATCTGTCTTCTGCTCGTGAGGGTCTGGTTGAAGGTCCCCAAGCTCGAGATTCTTGCTCCATAGAGCCCGTTGCCTGGGAGAAGAGAAGAAAAGAGGATTCTCCATGGCAGCGCACATAAGCATCGCCGGATTCTTCGTCCCGCGCTGCAGAACTGGCCACCGGGCGAGAGCGCTCGCTTCCCAGGGGATCGCTGCTCCGAAGAAAGAGGGGGAGGAGGAGAAGGTGAAGCTCGGAGGGTCTGATCTGAAGGTCACCAAGCTGGGGATCGGCGCCTGGGCCTGGGGCGATACCACCTACTGGAACGATCTCCAATGGAACGGTAAGCCCCAATGAACGCCTTCACTCCATGCCGTAACCGGAGGACTCACCAGTTGAAGAACAGGCTTCTTATAACCTCCATTAATATATTTTCTTAGATTTTTACGCATAAATTAGTCCACATTTTTTAAATTATTTCTCATATCATCGTCCTCTACCGAGCATCTGTTGATAGTAGTAGTGCTTGGGGCATTTGATGTGTTCATCTTTATTTTTTTTCAAAAATATTTCAGACAGAAAATTAAAGGACGCAAAAGGGGCATTTGATGCCAGCATTGACTCCGGCATTACTTTCTTTGACACTGCCGAAGTGTATGGTGCAGGGGTAGGTACCCAGAGTTCTACCCGTTCTCTCTTCATCTGCTTCATGATCTTCATGAAAAAATATATTTTTTTTCAATAACTTTTATTTTCTGTTCGTTCTTTTTTCAGTTCTCGGGGGCCATCAATTCAGAAACTTTAATCGGAAGGTATTAATTTTTACATAAAAAAAGAACCAATCACTTAAACCCATGTTCTTCCGATGCTCATTACAATCTTTTTATTTATTTGCCGATGAATCAGGTTCATCAAAGAGAGGAAAATAAGTGATTTGAATGAGATTGCGATTGCTACGAAATTCGCCGCTCTCCCCTGGAGATTGGGCCGCCAAAGCGTGGTCTCCGCCCTGAAAGGCTCCCTCTCCCGCCTCGGTCTTTCCTCTGTTGATCTCTACCAGCTTCACTGGTCTGATATCTTCCCCCACCTCATTTTTTCTTCGCCATTTATTTAACTGGTGGGTAACATGAATCTGCTGGTGATCATCTGCAGGCCAGGAATATGGGGGAATGAAGGTTGACCTGGCTACCCTCTTTTTTTTTCCACATTTAAATACTATTTTCTCCCTCAATTATTTGTATAGTGATGCGTCTGGAGATCTGCCATGGACTGTTCTTCATGATTTTGCCAGGCTACATCGATGGCCTTGGAGATGCCGTTGAACAGGGGCTAGTGAAGGCTGTGGGGGTCTCCAATTACAGCGGTAACTCGCATTTTCAGGCTTAATCCTGCTTAATATTAATCAAAAGCATGCTATTGGAAACCAAAATTTTGCCGCTTTGTGAGACAGAGAAACGTCTCAGAGATGCTCACAGTCAACTCAAGAAGAGAGGGATCCCTCTGGCGGTGAACCAGGTCAACTACAGCCTCATTTACAGGCTCCCTGAAGAAAATGGTGTGAAGGCAACCTGTGATGAACTGGGTGTCTCTTTGATTGCATATTCGCCAATTGCCCAAGGTTGCATTTATTTTATTTATTTATTTTTAGAACCCTAATATAACTGGGTGTCTCTTTTGACATCCTCTAGCTTCATATTTATATATTTGATAGATTTTTTCTCTTTAATCTGTTCCATTCAGCGGTGAATATTGTGGGAAATTACTCGCGGCTTAGATGTAAACTGTGCTTTTGCTATAAAAGGAAATTATTCCCAGCTTATTATAAGCGGATTAATGCACGATATCGATTGCAATTTTCTAAATAAGGAAAGGTGGACTTCTTTTTTCAGGGATCCTCAGCGGCAAGTACACCGCAGCTAATCCACCTACTGGCCCTCGAGGTCGGATCTACACCCCCGAATTCCTCACAAAGGTGGAACTAAATCTATTTTGCTAAATTAAATATTTATTTATTTATTTATTTATTTTACTTATTTATCTGCTATATTATGCAGCTTGAACCTCTAATTGCCCGAATCAAGGAAATTGGGCTGAGCTACAGCAAAACTCCAACACAGGTAGGATATGTCTTGCACCAATCAGTCTACTCTGCTTCTATCCACTGTAAAGGTCAACGCGAGCCATATTTAGAAACAGAGCCATCTTGCTTCAAGGTCAACCACAGTTGGCATCCTGTTCCTTTTGCCACAAAGACCCCAACATATGTTGTACTCTACTGTGATTCTATCCACTGTGACGATCAACCACTGAGGTCAACTTCAGAGACAGAATCCCCTACCCATCGAGGTCAACCCACCAACCATTGACATTTTACCCTCCACCCGGCTCCTGCAGTTATGTGTGAATGCCTCATGATCCCGCATCACAGATTTAGCCGCTGACATCTTTCTCCTTCCGTAGGTGGTGCTGAACTGGCTGCTGTGCCAAGAGAACGTCCTGCCGATTCCAGGCGCCAAGAACGCCGAGCAGGCGAGGGAGTTTGCGGGTGCCCTCGGATGGAGATTGTCGGATGACGAGGTCGCAGAGCTCCGATCAATAGCTTCAAGAACAAAGCCAGTCATCGGGTTCCCCGTGGAAAAATTGTAGCTCCTCCATTCTCTTCTACACAGAATGTTACAGATCCACAGAGTCCTATGTGGTCAACGCCAAGAACAGAGCCCACATTATTTCCTAAATTTGGAAAATTTATGGTTCTAACCCAGATTCTGATATCCGATTTTGGGTCCACTAAATGTGGGCCCCGCCCGAGAGGAGTCGTCCAGAGAGATAGCAGAATCTGCAGCTGTAGCCTCTGCTTTAGAAAAGTTGGAGAAGGAGAATCCCATCGGCCCGCCAAAGCTGGTGCTCTCTGAGATTGTTTAATGCTCAGTAATATAAAAAGCCTATTTATCAAGATTCTTGCTCAATGAAAGGCTACATATTTGCTCAATGATACTATCATTGTTATTATTTATCTAATACTATCCAACAATGGCATCATGAGATACGTTCGCAGTCACATGTTCTTGATTTGACCTCAAGCGACCCGAGAGTAAAGATGACCATGGCAGGATCTTTCTTCTGATCCACAGAGGATGGGTGGGGGTTGGATGGAATCTAGCAGACTCAGACACTTGGCACAACTGGGAAGATGCCCATCCACAGAACCAGTCAAGCGCCTCCTTCTTCATCTAGGGTTTCTTCTTCTTCTTCTTATTCTTCTAGGGTTTCTTCTTCTTCTTCTTCTTCTTATTCTTCCAGGGTTTCTTCTTCTTCTTCTTCTTATTCTTCCAGGGTTTTTTCTAGGGTTTCTTCTTCTTATTCTTCCAGGGTTTCTTCCAGGGTTTCTTCTAGGGTTTCTACTTCTTATTCTTCCAGGGTTTTTTCTAGGGTTTCTTCTTATTCTTCCAGGGTTTCTTCTTCTTCTTCTTCTTATTCTTCCAGGGTTTCTTATAGGGTTTCTTCTTCTTATTCTTTCAGGGTTTCTTCTAGGGTTTCTTCTTCTTATTCTTTCAGGGTTTCTTCTAGGGTTTCTTCTTATTCTTTCAGGGTTTCTTCTAGGGTTTCTTCTTCTTATTCTTCCAGGGTTTCTTCTAGGGTTTCTTCTTCTTCTTCTTCTTATTCTTCCAGGGTTTCTTCTAGGGTTTCTTCTTCTTCTACTTCTACTTCTAGGGTTTCTTTTCCTTCTAAAACAGGAAATCGCTGAAAGGAGAATGATGAGGAGGATCCGGGGGGAGAATTGGTTCCAACTTTCCGAAGAAACCCGCTGGAAGCCGGAACAATCAAATCAGTGGGTGCAGGGAGAACCCAGCAAAGGTGCCGAGTTTCACCCAGTAAACGTGTCGATCATGGATGCTGTCTGCTCAAAGGGTTTAAATGGCGGCGAAAAAGTATGACATTTATGGTAAGAATCCCCGCCGCCATTGGGCGAGATCGGGATGTGGGCACTCGCCCCCGTTGGCCTCACCATGTGGGCTTCCCCTGTTCCTGACGGCCGACGGCAAAAAGGGCGGCGGCGAGCTAAAAGCAGACCTCCCCCACTAACTTTCGCCGTCAAGAAAAAGCTTGCTTGAAGGAGCCCTCTCTCTCTTTCTCTCTCTCTATTCCCTCTTTCTCTCTCTCTCTCTCTCTCTCTCTCTCTCTTTTTCTCTATTCCCTCTTTCTTCTCTCTCTCTCTCTCTCTCTCATGGTTGGAGGCCTTATCTCTACGCGACGAAGGAGCTACGGGCCCTCCCACGACGGGCGGCGGTGGGTTGGATGATCTCGACCAATCCGAGCACCAGGCAGCGGCGGATCCGGCGGAGATGAGCCGATCCCAATCAGGCTGTCGGGATCATACACTAAAAATTATTTATTCATATAAATCCGGCCAGAGACGGGACAACTAACGAACATCTCGTGGGCTGCAGTGAATGCTCCAGACGATAGATACACTGCAACCCTCTTCCTCTAATTCTCCCCGTCTCTTACTACCATTCTATCGAGAGAGAGGGAGACGGAGAGAGGGAGAGAGAGAGAGAGAGAGCGAGAGAGAGAGAGAGGATTATCAGAGAAGATGAAGAGATTAAGACTCACCGATGGGCTTCTCAGATTCCCTGCACCTGGACCCCAGGAAATCAATGATCTGTGTCCGCTCCCACCCACCCTCCCTCCCGAAGAGCAGGACCACACAGAGGGCGACGCGCTCCTTGTCCTCAATCGAATCCTGGATAATGGGAAATTCCCTTATCGCTAAGAAGGGTCCTTTCCGTTACGTAGCAACGTCAAACCCATGATTCAATCAGATGGTGATCTCTTCTTCTTCCTCATAAATCGGACGGATTTCTCATAAGGCTGCGAACTTTCATGAGGAAATCATCTTATCCTGCTCCTGTTCTTGCGATTTGGGCGATTCCGGCGGCGATTTCGCGGACCAAGCGGCATCTAGGATGCTCAGACGAGCGATTATTCGTCGCTGCGATCACAATGACGCCCGTTCCAGGGTTTTCGTGGGGGAAGAAGAAGCCCTGTGGAAATAATGCCCGAGCGGCGCTGTAAGAACTGCTTGCTGGGGCTCATTCTGGACTTGACGGAAGGACAGGGACATTAGGAGTGGTCCGAACAGGTACTGCGGCTGATCGGCCCTTTGCCTGACACGTGGGTCTTTTCCTTCCACTTCGGGGTATAGAGAGATGAACGTCGCCGCCGCAGGGGGGGTGGGGGAGGTATCATTTGCAGTAAGACAGAGCGGTAGAGAGAGAGAGAGAGACAGAGAGAGAGAGAGGGCTGGAGATCGGTATCATTTGCAGTGGGTGAAGGGGAGGAGGAGGAGGAGGGCTGGAGAAGCGAACAAGGTATACGCCTCCTGCTATCTGGTTTCCTTGCTCGCTGTTCCACAGTTTTTCTGAGGATTCGGTGGTTCTAATCGTCTCCTCCGGCCTGCGGGTCTGGGAATCGGAGATCTCTCCTCCCCCTGCTCCAATTCTTTTTCTGCCATCTCCGCGGGGATGAATGAACAGAGATTTGGCGATCTCCTCGGCCTGGGATTCATCTTCTAGCCCCGGATTTCCTCTCCCCCGCCATATCCCTCTTCTCTGCCGCATTGCAGACATCGCCAGAGTGTTCTTCCGCGTGGGTTTCGAAATCGCTTCAGGGTCTCCTCCGTTCCTCCCACTTCTTATGATCTTCATCTTCTCGTTGCTTGACTGATGTCTCCAATTGTGGTGATGTTTCTAGGCGGAGGAGCTTCATATGCTGACAGGATGAACTACTACCATGTCCATGGCGGGAGCATGGAGGACGGCTATGGATCTCTCCATCAGAGGAGATTTCCCAGGTGGGTACCCTCCGAATTTCATTTACAGGTGAATCATTGCAGGAGGAAGGAACCCTTTTAAAAAAAAATCTCTGCTTCATCTGGTTCTTGTTATCTTAGCAGCATGGACGATGATCTTGTGGAGCTCTCCTGGCAGAAAGGCGGCATCGTTATGAACAGCCAGACGCAGCGGAGGGCGGCGGCTTCGCTCAGCGAAGCCAAGAACTTCCAAAAGACCGAGGCTAATCCCAAGTACAGGGATCCCTTCGAGGGCTCGATCAGGGAAGAAGATGAGCGAGAAACCGCCACGTGGCTCCACTACTCGATAGAGGATTCCTTGGACGGGGACTTCTGCCCGGAGTTCTACGGGCTCCCGGCGGCGGAGCAAGAAGGTCTCGCAAAGCACGGCGCGGCTGTGGCGGCGGCGGAGGAAGAAGATGGCGCCGTGTTTGGAGACTACGTCTTCAGCCTGCCTTCTGTCCCTGGCTTGAAGGAGGGCGTGGACAGCGTAGGCGGAGGAGGAGGAGAAGGAGAAGCAGGAGGAAGAGGAAGAGGAGAACGAGGACAAGAAGAAGAAGAAGAAGAAGAAGAAGAAGAAGAAGAAGAAGAAGAAGGAGAAGGAAAAGGCGGAAGAGGAGGAGAGGGGATGAGAAACCAGGCGGAGGAGAGCTCCAGCAGCAAGAGGGAAGAGGCAGAGACCAACGGCCCGAAGGGGAAGAAGAGGAAGGGAGTCGACGCGGGCGAATCCGAATGCCTGACAGAGGTTCTTAGCTAGCCCTCTCTCTGAACACCAGCCTTTTTTTCGTGTGTAAAGCTGTCATCTTTGCCTGACCCACGTCCTTCAGTGCTCCGGCGGGCGGCGGCAGGAGGCGGGCGACTGCGAATCAGTGGAAGCCAGCCGGCGCCGCCGGAGATCTGCCTCCTCCCGGCGGGCCCGCGCCGCCGAAGTCCACAACCTCGCCGAGAGGGTAGACCTTCTTCTTCTCCTCCTCCTCCTTCTTCTTCTTCTTCTTCTTCTTCTTCTTCTTCTTCTTCTTCTTCTTCTTCTGCTGCTGCTTCTATTTCTGCTCCAGCTGCGGCTTCAAGACATAATCGATTGTTCTTTCCCGAAATGTACGCAGAGACGAAGGGACAGAATCAATGAGAAGATGAAGGCGCTGCAGGAGCTCATTCCCCACTGCAACAAGGTAAAAACCTTCCCACCTCCACCACTTAGATCATCCATGCTCCGAAAGTCAACGACACAACCAATCCGCTCGGTTTCCATTTTCGGCAGTCTGACAAAGCTTCCATGCTTGACGAGGCCATCGAGTACCTTAAGTCCCTTCAGCTTCAGCTCCAGGTCATCTCTCTCTCTCTGTCTCTCTCTCTTTCTCTCTCACACTAACTAACTGAGTTTTCTATTACGGGCAGATGATGTGGATGGGGAGGGGCATGGCAGCGATGATGGTCAACCCCATGGTGGCGTGCATGGGTGTGGGGCCGCCTTCCTCTCACGGGGGGCTCCAATTCCCGAACTTCTTCCCGGTTGGTCAACCCCCGGCCGCATTCCCGGCTGTCAACCAGGCCGCCATGGGTTCCACCTTCATCAACCCGATCAACCTTCGGAATCCAATCAGTGCTATTCTAGCTGATCCATACGCCCGCCTCCTGGGCCCAACACAACCTTCCTATCAGGTCAAAAGCATACCTCCTTCACTCTTCCTCTTCTTCTGTTGGCTTCTCCCGTTGACTTATCTCTCCTTCCTCCTCCATCCTCAGCCTATTCACCATGAGCAGAGAGCAGCTGAAGCTTTAGCTGGTGGGCTCTGTGATCCCGCCCCCGGAGTCGATCATATATGAAAAAAAAAAAGTTATTTTTTTATGGGCTACCATTTCTTGTCTTTAATCGTAGACATGCCTTCTAGAGAGAGAGAGAGAGAGAGAATCGGGGCCGCATGTACAAATATAAATTTGTGAGGAAGAAATTTGCGAACCTCTGATTATTTTCTTCACCCTGGCTCAAGCGGGTCTCTCTCTCTCTCTCCTCCTTAATTTAGCGCATGAACCCATGGGAAATATTGTCGCGGTATCCTGTTTTCTCCCTCTAGAAACATCTTGGACTTGCTTGTTTGCGAGGGAGGAACCGTTAGCACCCAGAAAAAAAAGGATTTATTTATAATACTGCACAAATGGGCATATTATTTAAGCCGAGAAAAATGAGCCGGGATATTTTATTCACCGATTATTTGCGTCATTTATCGGTGTGTGACAATTCAGATGGGGCACATCTGGACCGTCGATGCACGTTGGGGATCGAATGATTATGTCGTACCTTTGCCTTCCTGAGAAGGGCAAGAGCCGCCATGATGGAGCCAGCGAGGCGGCCTCGTGGGATGTCTTGTCCAGGCCGGTCCCTGTAGGGATGGGGAAGATAGAGAGGGAACAAGCCACGGAGAGGATGCAGTGAAAGGGAGAGAGAGAATGAGAAACGTACATTCTCTCTCTCTCTCTCTCTCTCTAGCCCATCACCTTGCCGCAGGTCCAGAAGCCCACTTGGATCTCTGGCGAGCTACAAAATAAACAGGGGAAAGCATGAACCACGAACGTAAAAAGTCAACGGGGCAGGTATTCTTTAAATTTTAGCTTCCCCATGAATGGCCCAAGTACCAATAAAAAAAGAAAAAAGAGAGATAAGGAGATAATCTAGAGAGAGAGAGAGGAACAAGGAACCCATTTTTTTCAAGTGATTTTCCTATGATTTCACACAATGAGATCATGGGTCAATTTTTATTTACCATATGTAGATATGTATTAAGGTCAACGGACAGATAATTTGGTATTTTCCGAAGAACTTCTATGCTGTAATGAGCAGCACCAAGGAAAAATGTTATTTCAAAGTTATAAACCTGATATAAAAATAGCAAAATTATGATATATGGTGGAAAAATGTAGGGAGTGGCTTCTATTTCGTCAATAAATCAATTCACCCAGATATTAAAAAAATTAGATAAAAAATAAATGCCAACGAAAATATAGGATCCGTGGAGGGACGGCACCGAGACACCCAGAAAAACCATATTTATCCCGAGTAAATAAATTCAATATTAAAATATTATTACCTCAAATAGGACATAATCTGCCCATTTTGTCGCTCCAGTAAGTGAGATAGCATCGAGCTCCTCCCACCCGTCAAGTGAAATAATTGACTGCCAGGTCAAAACAATCCAGAAAAGGATAGGAAACTGAGCCAAATCAGAGCTTGATCTCATACTCTTCAGACGCCAAGTTTCGCACAGAGAGAGCCACCAGCTGTCCAGCTTGCAGATTTCATTGAATCTGCATTAGAATATACTCAGAATATATTAAACTGCTGGAAATAGACTCAGTTTTCCATTTGGATAATAGTCAATAAATCAGAGTATAAGGTTAATCCTCATTTACTTCTTATAGTAATCGAGTTGCATGGAATAAGGAAATCAGTCCATTTACTTTGTACAGATTCATCTCTTCTTTAAGAGATATATATGGATTCCGAATAGAATGATCTATAAGAGATAAACTTGATCATCATCATCATCATCAGCAGCAGCATTACTATTATTATAATTATATTCTATATTTAGAAAAACCTTATAGCCTAATGTAGCATGAAGGCACATCAAGACCCAGTAAAGAATTTTTTTTTAAAAATCATTGAGCTGATAAAAGCACTTTTTCTGTTGATTATATAGTAATTTCCAATCTATGTTAGGCAGAAATCATCATCATAATCGTCATCAGCATCAGCAGCATTGCTATTATTATAATTCTGCCCTATATTTTGAAAAACCTTGCAGCCTAATGTAGCATAAAGGCACATCAGGACCCAGTAAGGATTTTAAAAAAAAATGGATGCAATATTTTACTATGAAAATCATTGAGCTGATAAGAGCACTAAAATGGAGAAAAATCCACATAGTTCTATTGATTATATTGCAATTTCCCCTGTATGTTAGGCAAAAATCATCATTAGATTATCCGCTAAATATTAAGAGAGCCAGGAGGGCAAAGGGTCTTCGAGGCATCACCTTCCATGATGATCGCATCAGATGATCACATTCTCTTCGAAAACTTGGACGAACGAGGGAGATCTTGGTCGGCCCAGGAGCTCTGCCATCTCGAGAACTGTCTCTTCAAAGAGCTGAATATCTTGCGCTCGTTGTGTGAGAGCCTGATGCCAGGAGGATCAAAATCCAGCTTCACTGGCGCCAGATCAGCAGACATCCCCAGGGTTTCTGGGTCCTGGCTGGAGCCCTTGACGTCAGGTCTCTCATGAATCCCACAGACGAAAATAGAGAATTTATCGTCTTTCATGGCGGCGCTGGAGAATTCTTGGTGTTCTTGGTGGGTTTCTCCCTGCTCCTTGGCAAAGCTGCGGGTTTCACCAGGAAGGCATGCCCTGGGTTCATGGACCTGGAAAGGATTCTCCTCCTGCAGAACCTGTGACGAAGCTATGGAGATCTCAGGGAACACCCTGTCGAGAATCATGCTGCATTGAGTGGCCATCAAGTCCTCCTCCTCCTCCTCCTCCTCGTTGTTAACATAGCCATCGTCCTCCATCCGCTGGAGGCTGAGGAGAACAGGAAGAGGAAGCACCGGCCCAACAAGACGATCTGCGGGGAGCACTCTGAGATGCCCCTTGCTGGTCCTTCCGAGGGGCTTTCTGAGGAAGAAGGAGGGCGAGCTGCTGACCTCTGGAAACTCAATGGTGGAGTGTTTCCGCTCGGTGAAGAGATCTGAGAACCTGGAGAAGGCCAGATGCAGAAGATTCCGCTGCAGAGAGCACAGAGCCCTTCGTGATGCTACCTCGTGGATGCTGGAGGGGATGCCCACATCAGTAATACAGTCGAGAACAGAAGGGGATGTTCTGCAAAACTCTCGGTCTATAATCTCCTGCAATCCGCGGTCGTCGATGGCCAGCTTGGATTTCATGAGCTCCGCTCCGGGATTCTGCATCTCCATGATCATGGTCTTGGAGAGATTTCCGGTCAGATACGCGGAGAGAAACTTGAAGTTGAGGAAGTCGTGGCGGGTGACAGGGGCGTCCTCGTTCCCATTCCACGGTACCAACGGGGAATTGCAGGTTCTTGATGAAGCCTCACGGCTGTATGAGAGCTTCTGGGAGGTGCAGTATTGCTGCAACTCGAGCCTTCCAGACGACAAGAGCCGGAGCAGAGAGAAGCCACCGGGGTCTTCAAGCTTTGACGGCACGGAGAAGGCAGCTTCGGGGAGAATCGAAAACCCTACAACGAGCTCCTCGCTCAGCCAGCGGTCAGATCCGGCGGGGAGCTCCTCCTTGAGAAATTCTTCATTCACAAGAGCATCGACGGAAGAGCATCGCCGATCCAGCACGCACAGATCCGATGGGAGCTCCCAGGCGTACAGAGTGAGGATCCTGCTCCTGTTCGAGTCTCCCTGTTCTTTCGGCCCGCAGCAGAAGACACTGAACTCGGAGTTGCAGAAGGATCCAGCGATAACGGCAAATCCCGACTCAGACGCCCACCTGAACTGCTCCGACGGCCTGAGCTCCCGCAGCGGATGCACAGCCACATAGCAGGGATGATTAAGTCCGTGATTCCACCGCAGAACTGGGATCAATGGCTGACGAGAATCATATACGAACAGATGATGCTCAGTCGCCACGGAGAAGAGGAAATCGTCGCCGGACGCTCTGGAGAAGGCGATGAACTGGTCCTTCACCATGGAGTGCACCTCCATGTACGAGCACGGATCCTCGATCCTGGCCAGTGTTGATCTCCCGGAACCATTCCTCGACCTCAGATCCACCATCGTCACAGCCACGGAGCTCGCGACGAACAGCAACCACGGTTTCCCTCCAAACTCGCAGCGCAGCCATCTCCCGCAATCTCCCCCCGGTGATCTGATCCTGACGGCGCAGCCTGAATTCGGTCTCATCCAGTAGAAATCGCCGTCGTCGAGGAGGACGACGCACTCCTCCGGGAGGTGAGGGTTCCAGCAGGCGTCCACCACGCGGCTGAGGAACGACCGCCTCCCCGTGGGAACCAGAAGGGGCCTCCCATTGAGAACCTCCACCCTGAAGCAATTCACAGAGTAGAGAGTGGTGGCGAGAAGATGACCTTGCGCGAAGGCGGTGGCGGCGGCGGCGGCCGTGTCCCAGCCATCGTCCGGCGGATCGAGAGGCACCACCGAGATGTCGATGATCCGGTGGCCGGGGTGAGCGTATCCCTCCGCCTGCCGGAAAACCTCGCCGTTCTCCGATCTGATCCGCGGCTCCGATCCGATCGAAGACAGGCCTAGGAAGCCGATCTGCTCGAAGTTCTCCCCGATTGGGAAGAACAGGACGTGAGAAACGTCCTCCTCCCGACAGCGGAGGACATGGAGATGGTTGAACGAGCTCCCCGGCGGCGGCGCCGTCGGGCGGCGCGCAAGGGAGGGAGAGCAGAAGAGGCTCTGCTGAGGAGGAGAAGGCGAGGGCCCAAAGAGGAGAGGGCCGAGGTGGTCGGCGGCGCCTCCGGCGAAGAGGTTGGGAGCGGCGAAGACGGCGGCCACCGGCCACGTTGATTTCCAGGACGCGGAGAAGTTCATGCCCTCCGAGAAGCTCCGCGACCGGCGGCGGGAAGACGGAACGACGAGGGTTTTAGAGTTCAGCCCCCCTACTCCCGACCATGACGTCATCATACGACACCAGACCGGTTATCAGATTAATGAAAACAAATATTCACCAAAAAAGGTCTCGATAAAATTTACGAGGTGAAATTAGTTTTATGAGTGAAAATATTTCAAAAAAATAGATACTTAATTTTTATTTTGATTTTATTTTATATAATATAATATTATAATTTATCCCCATTTTGGGTAAATAATTAAAATAAATACCCATGCGAACTAGTTCAAAAAATTGTATAATTAAAAAACATGAGCCAACAATTGGTCTGTATTATTTGTCTGTTTTCATTACTTTTATATATTTTCTTTCTAAATATTTTTATCTCGTTGGCATATTTAATTGTAAAAGGCAACAATGTGCGATGAGAAAACATGAAATAATAATATTGTTATTAAAAAATGGGAAATGTATTTTTCAAAAAAGTCCTTTATCATGCATAATATTGTGTATTGCCTTTCACTTCATCATGTATATTAAAGTATAAAGCCAACACAAAATAAATATTATTTATTTGTTTTTCTCCATCAAAATATAGATTCCGACGGGGCCGTTAAAGAAAAAACCAAGCCTAGGAGGGCCCATACCCGTCACCATCATAATTATGGTTAAGCCCCTATTACATGCAATCCTATATTTTAAAGCCTCACTTTATAAAAAAATTATTTTCAACTCCTTAAAGTTATGAAGGAAAGTAGAGCCTTTTATTTAGTTTATGATGGATGGGCCTCCAACCGGGTTCCCAAGATATTTTATGGTCACGTTTCAGTGATTCACGCAAATTAAGATAACACCCCCTTCTTTTGCACTTTATTGGCATATAACTCTAATTCTATGAAATTTATGTACAAGTCCTGATTTCATTTGGCCAGTTAGGCTTAGAGAAAATATAGCTATAACTATTTCATAGCTAATTATCTATCTTGATGGTAGTTATATCTTTTTATGTATGTTTCTTTGTTGCTTATAAAATAAAGTCAATAAAGTCAACAAAAATGGAATCTTACTATTCCTACATGTTTTAATCAGAATCATCCCAATGAATGTAGTCCCTAATTAAGATCATACCCCTTCTTATACACATTCTTAGCTCATAACCCTAATTCTATGAAAATTATGTATCAGTCCTGATCTCATTTCGCCTGGACACTCTTGGCTCATAAAACCCTAACTCTACGAAATTTATGCACCAGTCCTTACCTCATCCCCTGCTACCATCAATGAGAATGTAATCTTATTCATGTGACCTCACAAATTTGAAACATACCCATACTTGTGTAACTCTTAGTTCATAACCCTAATTCTATGAAATTTATGTATCCGTCCTCCAACGAAAGGTTCCAACAATCAGAATTATGCCAACGAATGTAGTCGCATTCTAGTGACCCACAAATTATTATCATATCCCTTCTTATGCAAAAAGTTGGATGGATGACCTTAACTGTAGGAATTTTGTGTACATGTCCTTGCTTCATTTGGCCGTTCCAACGATAATCTTCCTGCGACTAAAGGCTCATCAATGAAAACTGTCCCAATGTGCAGTCTCTCTCTCTCTCTATCTCTCTCTACCTCGAGAGGGGAGAAGAAGGGAGGCGAGTCAATCCAGGCTCTAAGGGTCCTCGAGGAGGGGGGGGGGTTGCGGGTGGATTTTGGGGCGGTCAAAGGAACAGTCAGACTGTCAGGTTCAGTCCTGTCAATGGATGCAATCGAGGCGGGGGGAGGTAGCTGTCCGGAGGATGAAGACTACGAGGGTGGAGACCATCTTCAAATCTGAAGCGAGAGAGAGAGAGAGAGAGAGAGGGGTGAGGGGGGGGGGGACTGAGAAGATGAGAGAGCTTTTGGGAGCAATTTTAATGCCGGAAGGGTTGAATGGATGGATGGAAGGGAGAGAGAGTAGATGTCAGGAAGGTAATGTGCTCTGTTTGGCCTTTACTCGACAGGAGGGCTCTGCTAGGAAATGACCGGAGTTGCAGAAAGTTACCCGGAAGTAAGTCTAAAAATGCGGGAGGCGCCAGGAAAAGAGGATGCCCGCAGCAGAGGAGCAGGGATGAGCATCTCTGAATCCATCTCTCCGCCGGCCGCCTGCGAGAAACCCACCAAGGTCAGTAAAACAACGATGAAGAAATCTAGTAGATCAGGGTTCGGGGGGGGGGCATTCCATCTCAAACAGTCTTTTTCTTCCTCGCAAGGCGATCTCCCACGGCTTCTTCTTTTTTTTTTTTTTTTTTTGGATCTTGCGGAGGGAGGGAGAGGGAGAGGAAATCGTAGATTTCTTTTCTCGAAGAGCTAGAAAGAGAGAGAGAGAGAGAGAGAGAAACCAAGGGAGAGAGGAGGGGTTGAGAAAGGGTGAGATAGGAATAGAAACCTCTCTGGAAGCACACGAGCCGTCCAATGGTACAGAGAATCCGCACAGCTTGCCCAGTTCTCGGTGCCGCCGACGCTCGACGAATCCAACGGCCACCAGAAGTCGCAGTCAGTGAAGGCGCGTTACAGAAGTAGTACATGGAGATCTCGGAAAAGGGAGGAGTTGACGCGTTGGGGAAGAGACCGAAGTGCAAAAGCATTGACCAGCTTTTGATTCAGTCGCCATTCCCCAAGCTTCATCCCCTTCGTCCCTCCGATTACACGAAAAGGAAAGAGAACTGAAAAAGAAATAAAAAACACGATTCTCGCTCCTACGGAGCTAGTTTTTCCTTCTCAGAGCAGCAAATCTGATAGTGGAACACAAGTCTCACAGCCTCACTTGGAACAGGTTGCATGACATCAAAATCATCTAGTTCTCTAGGTGAAGGAATCAAACGAGGGAGAGAAGCCGACCCGCCGGGTGCCAACCGAATACAGAGAAATACAGATCCTCACGATAAATCTCTGAAAACAGGGACTAAGGAGGGGTATGAAAACAGATATTTACAAGCAGAGAAGGATAAGCAAAATCAGATTTCCCAAAGGAAGAACAGGAAAAGAAGAGAGTTTGAGGAGGTGGTGATCATCTATCTATCTTCTCGTTCTCCTGCAAAGAATTACCTAAATTCCCCGTACGACCTTAAAGTCTTCACGTTCCTCCCCACGGCACTGCTGCTGCCGTTACTGTTTCTGGCGGCCACCCACGAGGGCTGTGTCCCTGAGACTGTGTCCTTCTTCTGCGTCGAGGAAGCAAAAAGCTGTCCGAAGCCGAACATGGAACCAGGCTTAGACGAGCCCCGCAGAGAACACAAGGGGACGTTCAGCACTGGTGCCACCCTTACGACGTTGGCAGAGTACGAACGCTCTACCCCACGGTGCTTGACCCTTGGCCCTCCGTTGAAGGTGCTCGGGCTGCTCGAACTCCTCTCCAGGCTCTGGAATACCACCTTACCCGACGAGTTCATCCGGGGCGAGTCGAGTGACGCACCCCTTGTGGGGATCGATGTGGGGTCTCCTGACCCCCTTCGCATCGGACTCCTGGCGCTCCCACCAGCCCCTGCCGCAACAGCTCCGGTATGTATCTGAGCGGTCGTAGATTGGTGATGCCTATAATCCAGCACTTGGTTGGGCCTCGAGGACGGATCAACACAGGGCCTCAGCTTGGGGACGAGACGAACTCTGGGTGGATTGCGCCCATGGGACGGCTTGTCGGAGTCCAAAGAGAGACGAGGGAGTTCTTCGTGATCCGGACCAGAAGACGATGATGATGAGAGAGAAAGGCGAGCGGACATGGAGACTGAATCCGAGTCGGAGTCCCGGAGAAGTGGAAGGCTTAGGTACGCGTCAATCGACGCGGAGGATCTGTGACTCCTGTGGAGAAAATGCCTGAGCGAGCGTGCGGCGGAAGACCTGTGAGTGGCGCTGACCCCCGACGGCACGGAGGAAGGAGGCGACTTCTGCAACTCCTCTGTTTTCGCTCCATAACCGTTATGCGTCGCCTTCTTCAGACCAAACAGCTCCCTCAAGCGGCTGGAACACCTCGGCGCCTTCGGCGAAAACAAGGCGCCGCACTGGTCCGATCCCGCGGCCTCCTCCACCATCTGCCGCATCTTCTGCAACTCCGGAGATCGGATCTCCTCTGCAAACACACCGGGGGACGGCAACGTTGCGGCAGAATCCGCAGAAGAGGGGCGGACAGAGGCAAGCTGAAGCGGGACCAGTTTTCCATCCGAAAACAGCTCATCGGCGGGAAGCATCGTGACTGGATCATCCAAACGGCGGAACTCGAAATCCACCACCACCTCCCTGCCAGGAGATCCTCCCAGATCTACCTCCTCCTCCTCCTCCTCCGACGCCGCCGCCCCCGCCGCCGCCTTCTTCTTCTCCGCTACAGAGAACCGGGAGGACGGAGGCTTCACCGCCGCCGCCGCTGAGCTCTCCTCGGCCTTCTGACGTCCTTGGAGCTTCTCATCGTCGTCGAAGTCGTGGCTGAAGGAGATCCTGGGGCTAAGCCAGCCGCAGGACGAGTACGCTCCCGAAGAGGGGGCCAGGTCCAGGAATCCATCCGGCGCCACTAGCCCCACGTTGTTCACCATAGCTGAGGCCATCTCCGACCATCAAACGCCGGCAGATCGCCGCCCCTCCCTCAGATCGCCTGAATACCGCGGCGACGGCGGCTGGATCCTACTCGCCGGAACGCAACTCCCCGCCGCCGCCCCTTCTCTTCTAGGTTTCCGCCACCACAGAGAGAGAAAGAGAGAGAGAGAGAGAGAGAGAGAGAGAGAGAGAGAGAGACGGCTACTGTGGAGTAGTAGCGTGAGGCCAAATCCGGCGCGGTCTTATGTAGAACTGCTGTTCTGCTGCACCGGAGGGGCAGCCCCGCCGCAGCTTTCCAACCAGTAACGCCCCGCCACGTTGCAGAGGTCGCTCTCACGGCACAGACTACATAATCCTCTCCCCGCTTTCCGGGCGAGCGGAAGAGCCTGGGCTTATATGAAAAACCATTAATACCCCTGTCAAAGCACTCATTTCCATAAATACCAATATACTATACTATCCTCGTTGTCGTTTTATTTCGAGACCTAGAGCCTAGTGGTGCTTTTGTAACTCTTTGGTGATACCGCGGTTTTTTGTTGTGAGTGGCTCATCCTCCCAGGAGTGTCCCACTACCGCGAGGAAAGATCTCGTCCGTTCAAACATGCAAACATCGCACGGTCCACTTTCTGATGGGGGAGCGCTCAGGCCGTTGCCAAACTGCCACGGTGTGCCTTGCCGCCCTAACGGCGACAGGCGGCACCTCCTCGGGGAGGGTGCGATCGACGACCGCGTACTTCCAAAAACTGGGGCCCACTTGACTGTCTACGTGGCAATGCAGACGACCGGCTCCCCACGTAGGAGATGGATTATTAAATAGAAGCCCTCTGCTTCGCGATTAATGACGCGAAAACCAGATATAGAGGATGATGAGAGAGAAACGAAGACGACAAAGACAGAAGCAGACATGTGGCATACCGAGACCCGAAGAGAGAGAAAGGCAGACGAAGGCAGAGAGAGAGTGTGTTGTGGGGTACACCTTAGCATCACATGACCGGGAGGGCTACATTTATAATTTTTAGATCAGCCAGGGCTCCCCACGTCAGCACAGAAGAGCCTATCGTCCGCGGTGTCCTGATGGTTAAGATGTAATTAAGTACCCATCTGAGGCTTGTTTTTCTGTGGGTAGGACAAGTTTTTTCCGAAAGATGTCCTCGTAATCCGAGACCTTGCACGTGACTCCAACGGCTCCTAGCACGCCTGGCTAATCCGCCCAGCACGTGAGAAAACTAGCCGCTGACTCGGCGGCTTTCGTACGAGCCAGCACGATCGGACGGAATTCGTACGCGTTGCGTAGGATTTGCGGGGCCTGCAAGCCAACTCAGCAAACTAGAATTTTCCCGACTAAAATTATTAATAAATATATAAAGAAGGATTCAAATAAATGCATAAACTTCATATTAATGTGTTCGGTAATTTTCCTCAATAATCAAATAATGCGTAAACTTCAGTAATTTTCCTCAATAAAAAAGATTCAAATAAATATTTTCATATCTCTGAAAACTAATGAAATTGTCAATAAATTCCTTCAATAAAATTACCAATCAATATATAGAAAAACGGATTCAATAAATATTTTACATGTATATGAATCAAGGTTCATGTAATTTCGGTACCTGCATAAACTTCATATTAATGGTATTTTCATCAATAAAAATAATTCTCATATATCTGAAAAATAATGAAATTGCCGATAATTTCCCTCAATAAAATTACTAATCGTTATAAAAAATGGATTCAATAAATTTATTAAATTTTATTTCTATAAATGGTATTTTGTTTACGTTGTGTGAATAATCATTGGATTAGAATGAACCAAACCTCATTGAAATTACCATTTTTAAATATCATGATAAATTTTTGAAATATCATATTATTGTTTTTATTATTTGTCATTTAGTTCTAGTTGTCTGAAAAAAGGAAACGAATAACTCATTTGAGAATCGCCAGTGATTTATGAACTATAATCGCCAATAAAGTTTACAAAACTCGGATTCAATAATTTTATGATATTTATTTAAAGTAATGTTATTTTTTATTAGGTTTAAAATTTAAACTATTAAAATCAACATTTCAAAAATCCTAATAACTTATTGAAGAAAGGATATTACAAGTAACCTAGTTGGGAATCACCATTGATTTCTTAACTATAATAAGCAATAAAGTCTACAGAAATCGGATTCAATAAATTTATGATATTTATTTCAAGTAATGTTATTTTTTATTAGGGTGCCTTCATAAAAATTGAGTGAGGATGAATTAAAATTCCTTTGAAATTAAAACTATTTAAATCAATATTTCCAAAATCTTAATAACTTATTGAAAAAAGGACATTACGGATAACCCAATTGGAAATCACCATTGATTTCTTAACTATAATTAGTGATAAAGTCTACAAAAATCGGATTCAATACATTTATTATATTTATTTCAAGTAATGGTATTTATTGTTAGGGTGCTTGCATAAACATTGAAGGAGGATGAATTAAAATCATTTGAAATTTAAGCTATTAAGATCAACATTTCCAAAATCCTAATAACTTATTGAAAAAAAAGGTATTATATATAACCCATTTGGGAATCATTAGTTATCTCTTAACTATAATTAGCAATGAAGTCTACAAAAATCGGATTCAATAAATTTATGATATTTATTTCAAGTAATGTTATCTATTATTAGGGTGCTTGCATAAGCATTGAACGAGGATGAATTAAAATCATTTGATATGTTCAACAAATTAAATTTCTTAGTCGTTCTATATGATTTAATATGTTTAACACAATTTTGCACAAGTCATCCTCTCTCTCTCTCTCTCTCTCTCTCTCTCTCTCTCTCTCTAAGATGGCTGCTACCCTCCTCGTTAGGGTAAGAGTATCCCTTGAATGCCCTAGCACAATGGCGGAAGGGAGCATAATTCTAAAATGGAGAATAGACATGCCTTTTCGTCAATCATGGATTTCAGAGGGATCAAATCGAAAGAAGTCGAAACATTTTCAGAAAAGTGCGAAGTGGAAGGAACTGGGCCTCTATTGGGCTCAATATATATGAAATCCCAAAGTGGGACTTCGGCCCTGTATTCGAGACCGCCGTAATCTTCATCGATGTGAAGATTGGCTGACACCGATCTGACTTTCCGATCGTATACCAGCGGTCATGGGATCATTTGGATGGATGTAGAAAGAAAAGTCAAATATGTGGGCCCGGCCCATAAACCATAAACTCATCTAAAAGATGACGGAAAGGATACCAAAGGAATCAAACCAAGTTCAGCTGGATGAAGAACATAAGGTCAAGTACCTACCATTTTGGATGGACGTAGAAGGAAAAGTCAAACAAGTGGGCCCGGCTGGGCATCCGAGCTAGTGGGGGGTTGACCCCGCCCTAACCAGGCCCCGGCCCATAAACCATATAAACTCATATGAAAGATGACGGAAAGGATAAAATATCAAAGGAATCAAACCAAGTTCAGCTGAATGAAGAACATAAGGTCAAGTACCAACATACCTACCTGATGTCGGCCATGGCCACCAACCTGAGTTGACCTTCAAGGAGATAGAGAGACACAGTGCTCGAGATATTCATCAGTATGCAACAAATAAAAGAAGAGAAAAAAGGAAGAACAGAAATGGAAAGAAATTGGGTTGCCTGTAGCCTATAATTTAGAGGATTCCAGTTGTACATGACACCTATGCTGCTGCCAAATCGATTAAATCAGTGCCCATCCGCTGCTGCCATGACTACAATCTCATGTCAAGAAAGAAAAAAAAAAAAAAAAGAAAATAAAAGGAAACAAATGATCGCATAGGATGAAAAGAAATTCTAGGCTTCGTCATCCAGATCCCCATGGAACCGTCAATGAATGAGGTGAGAAGGAAAAAAAAAAAAAAAAACAGAAAAGAAAAAAAAAAGGGTGTTATAGGGAGAAGACAAGAATGGCGGCTTTGAGAACTGGTTCAGTGGAGCAGCACCCCCTTGAATGATCTTGGGCTTTTTTTTTTATCTATGTACACTGCTTTGATCTTGCTCATGAGAGGTCCCCCATTCCACCACCCTTCCACTTATTCATAAACATCGGCTGTGGAAAGTCCTCGAAGAAATCCAGATCCGGTTGGTCCCCCTTCATCCTCAGATCCACGCTCCAAATAATCTTGTTGGGTTTTCGCCGGAAGCTCTGTTTCCCTGGGGGATGCGGCTCTCGATCACCATGGATTTCAAATTTCGATCAGCTTTCGCTGCCCAGTAGTGGGAGCAGAGATGGTGGGGATCCAGTGCCTCGATAGCCTGCCCATGGAGAATCAATATATATATATATTTTTTTATGCTGAAAATGAAGAAAAAAAGGGTATTCCAGTTTTTTTTTTTCTCTAATGAAGTATTTGGGAGGCATCAAGATCTCATGAACGAGTCTAAAAATGAATGAAGATGAACATAAAAGCAAAACTTAATGAAAAAAAAGGGTAAAAAAATGCAGATGATCTAATTTTTTTACACATGGGGATCTTCATTCTCCGCCCAGTTTTATTTTTTAATTTTTAATTTTTAAATGAGGTATTTGTATTTAGGAAGACATCAAGATCTCGTGAACGAACATAGAAATAAATGAAGATGAACAGAAAAACAAAACTTAATGAAAAGAAAAGGTAAAAAAAATGCAGATGATCTAATTTGTTTGCACATGGGGATCTTCATTCTCGGCCTTTGAGTACCTGGATGATTGCAGGGGACCGAAGGCCGAACATCTGAAGACCGTCAAGAAACTTTGGGACCTTAATCGGAGGGGGCTTCAGTTCGTCTATGTGTCTCAGGGGTTTGACTTTCCGGTTCAATATGTCAAGGACTGCTTCCCAGCACTCACCAACAGACGTGTATATGAAGCTTTCCTCTGGTCTGTCTTCCACCATAACCTGTGATCAGTAGAGAGAATGTCAGAAATCCATTAAGAGATATCTACTGAATCAAATAGATAGAGGAAGACTTGCATTTATTTTAATTTTGACTTGTAAATAGAAAAAATAAAAAGAACCTCCATCCAGTAGAGATAATGTCAGAAATCCATTGAGAGATATCTACCGAATCAAACAGATAATTCGCCAACGGAAAACATCCTCAGAATTAGTGTAAACGAGGAGAGAAATCAAACTAATACGGAATGGTAACAGAGAAAGACTTGCATTTATTTTTATTTTTATTTTTATTTTTAAATAAAAAATAAAAAGAAGCTCCATCCAGTAATGATGAATTGATAACCATGCACAATAACTAAATTGAGAAGGCATTGAATAGAACTAGCTATGATCAACACTGAGAATCACTACCTTAAATAAAGGCCCCAGGACACCGCCATCCAGGACCTCTGAAATGTAATTGCACATTTTTGTTGGATCATGAACATCTATGAATCTAGCACGGCTTCTAAAACCTGAAAACGGCCGTTGCCTCGTTATCAATGAAGATTTTCAAGCAAAAATGAACGAATTAAAGGCAGCAGAAAACTCCCTGGAGTGTTGTCAGGCTTACCCCTGGGGAAAATAGCTTCAGAATTGAACCATCCCTTTGCAGGAATTATGTTCCCAAGATCAACAAGCTCTATGCAGTTGACCGACAAGCTGAGGTGATTCCCACTCTCAAAATCACGTCGGTTCAAATCCATTGGTAGGGATACATCATTAAAGGAATGACTTTTTCCTTTCTCTGGTGCTGAAGATGATCGTGGCTGACGCAGTTCACAGCCAGTAGACAGCAGCATGTCCAAAATGTTACCAAAAGACTTAGTATCTCCAGAACAAGATGTTCCACTGCGATTTTCTCGGCGGAGTACGTTAGTCAAGATTGGCTGGGTATCTTCAAATTGTTCTTGCATCTTCCATACAGACTTCACATCCCCTGCTGTATCATCGCGCTCAGATTTGCATGGCTTATTAATATCAGGCACCTCCAGATGGGGAGAAGAGAAGAGTGGTGCCTTCATCGCCAGTTTTACCAAAAATCTGGCGCTTGAACGAGAAGCTAATATTGGATCCATCAACCCCCACTGGTAGATTGCAGTAATATTACCTTCCAATGCTTCTATAAGCAGATTCAATTCATCTAAATCATATCGGAAAACGTAAAATCTTTTCCCTGGTTCACATGTGCTGCAAAGTGATTTCGCATGATTCAAGCAAGAGAACCGACTTGGGGAGCACTCACAACTGGCAGCTGAGAGGTGCAAGTCATAGAAGCAACAGAAACATTCTCTCTCGCTTGACAAATCGAAGTTCTTCTCCATCCTTCTAGAATCAAAGTGCCCAGCAAGATTTCTTCTTCTTTCCTTTTCCAATCTAACTCGTTCCTGAAAATTTAGTTCGGTCATTAACTAAACATCAACATCAAATAAACAGATAAATAGAGTTCCGAATAGTTAGCTGCATATAACAGTGCTGCTGTTACCTTAATTGCTCCGGTAAGTACACCATCCTTCCCACAGACACTTTGCCATCTTATGATTTCGGAGTTCTCCCTACCAAGAATGGCCAACTCCCAAAGTGATCTAGCAGCCTCATGTGCGGCGCACATCAGAAGTTTGTCATGAGAAACAGATGTCTTCCGGCGTTGTTCACTGTAAAGCTCCACAGCACATTGTCCATGTGGTAACCAGTCCAAAGGCGCAACATTTACGGCCTCGGCACAATTGAAGCCACAATTGAAACCAGCATGGTATGCTCTAGGGAAAGTGAGAACAAACTCTCCGGCATTCTGAACAGCACGGTAAACTGGCACACCCTCAGATTTCAGAACTGATGGAGATAGCTGCGTTACCTGTTAGTGAGGTAAATAACCACATTTTCAATTGAAAACCACCCGCTATCATGACCCATAACTAAATGAGACATCATCACAAGCCCAGGCTGCGTGCAGCATGCACCATAAGCCAGGATATCGTAGCCTATGGTGCATGAAACACATGCTCAGGTCTGATGTGACCTTGAAAAAAAGGAGAAGAATGAAAGGAGAAATAAAAACTTGCCAGTTCATTTAATAAGAAAGGCTGTTCTTCAAACAATTCTGGCAAACGCTTCCTCATGGCATCTTCCAATTTCACTGCATGGCTTCCAGGAACACCATACCACAGTTTTGGATCACCAAAATGCATGTAGTTCAGAGAATATAGGTGGTGGTCTTCAACGTGCTATTGATATACACAAAACAAGAGGACGGTCCATAAGGAATACTAGAAATAAAATAAACGTAAGAAATACACATGCAGAGCCCTGAAATCAAAAGGTCTAATAAACGGAGAGTTGGCACGTTTCTTCTCCACATGACATTACATCCACTACCTCCACAAATCCCGAGTTACTCCTAGCCTCTAGAAGGAACAATGGAAGAAAAATTAATGGAATAATGAACATGAGATGCTTGGGGAAATTAAAAGTGCATTAAACAGAACACAAAAAACTCAATCAACACAACATAACACAAAACAATGGCAATGATATCATTTCTGTCAGATAAAATTATAAATTGAGGTGATAACTAATGGTTAAAAAGCATACAATAAAGAACTTACCCAACAGAAAGACGAGAAACACATCCCAATGTATAGCCAAGGTACTAGCACACCAGAGATATCTTCACTTTCGAAGGAAAGAATAGACCCAGGAAGCCGTGGAATGTTATTTAGATTCCAACCAGATAAAAGGTACTTATTCAAGCCAACTTTAGACGACAGTGTCCTTTTAAGGAAACCACTGCCAAAAACTCCAGTTTCCAAGTCAGCACCATAATGAACCTGTAGCAAATTAAAGATGGAGATATTTCTACATAAACACCACATGAAAGGATTTTCTAGGAAATGGAACATTAAAAGCTTTGTTCAACGTATGAAATCACCTCAACATCCTTAGATGACTTCTCAACTATTCGCCAGTATTCTCCTTCAATTTCTTCTACTGACGGCTTCCACCTTTCCAACTCAGAACTACAGGATGAGGAATTTTCATTGGTGCGTTCAGCTCCAAAATACCTTTCTTTGAATGCCTCCGCATACTTTTCAAATTCTTGTAGTGTGAAGTCAGAGCCAGATTGAAAGCCAAACTTTTCCTCTGTGTCTGAGGTACCACAATCGTTGATCTCAGAAGAATCAGATGCAGTACGCCTACGAGTCATACCAAACTTAAGGCCCCGCCTTCGCTTCCTTTTTCTGAGACAACAATTCCTGTTCTTTTTCTTCATTGGCTCTCTATTTTGAAGTTTGTCGACTTGTTGAACTCGAGTGGTAAATTTAGCACATTGCCATATGCAATCTTGTTTCAAAGGACAAGGAGGCATCCACGAAGGAGGTGGTACAATGCGGCATATGCCATACTGTTCTGCAATTCGGCGTATACCCTCAATGTACCTAAGTGTGTCCTCAAACTCCTGGAATGAATCGATAACATACACAATAAGAGAAAACATGATCGCATGGATCATCAGACGAAGGGCGAAAGAAATTCATGGCTCTGAAAAGAGAGGGGTTATTGTGGAACAAGATTTCACCTCCTCAGTTGGGTAAAACACCGGAGCTTCATCAATGATGGGTCTGCATGCTTCTTCTGGACACCATCTTGGAGATTTCTGTTTATAAGAATTGACGCTCTAATCAAGCACCTTGGAAACAAAAGAAATTGCAGGGGTACAAATTGCGTCCTTCTATGTAATCTATACCTTCTGAGGACGGGAGGGCTCTGAATGCTTCCGTGTGTCATTGATTTTCTGAGGACTTTTTAAGCCACGTTCCTGCAGAAAGGCATTATTAGAATATTTGCATCACACAGAAGTACAATTTAACCATGTGTAAGACAAAAGCCAAGACAACAATTGAACAACCCTATAATTGGGGATGAAAAAAATAAATATATCTAGTAATACAAAAATATTTGCGATATTTAATGAACACAGCCTTTGAAAATATATTTTCATCAGCAAAAGTTTGATGTAAAAGTACTCCAGACGTTTTCAATTTATCCTTCGGGTTAGACATCCAAATTAAAATCAAACGCCTTTGGTAAGAACATAGACCATCATATTACTGATATTGAGTTTATAAAACACTAACGCATCACTCATTCCAAAAAGAAAAAAGAAAAAAAAAGAAAAAAAAAGAAACTTATTGTGAAACTTTATTCTCCATGCTTTGACACATCATAGGTCTTCATTAAGTATGTAACATTGATCGATAGGTTCACAAAAGCATATAAAGAGTAGGGCAACAAAAACAGCAATGCACAGATATATAGGTCATTAAAGCTGCAAGTCGGCACAGATTTACTACAGGAAGTTGTTTCTTCCACGTAAATAGGTCCAAGAACAACAAGTCAAAGCACATACATTAATCTTATTAGAAGGCTCCGGATCTGATTCCTCTTCTGAGCTGATCTCATACATGCGGTAGGGTACATCAGTCTTGCGCCGGAGGGAGCGCCTAATCCCCCCCTCATTGCCAATCACTGATTCAGCATCCATTAATGCTGGTAGCGTGATTGGTTGATATCATAGAATATCTGCAACTGCAGCAACAACCAGAGCCACTCTCAAGTTAACATCACTCACACATTTCCACAGGGCAACTCAACATAACTTCATACCCTTGAGAAAACTAAGCCTAATTTCATGCCACAGTAATGAAATAATAACAGTACGTTCACCACATGAATGTAATTTCTTGATGAATGTATGTAACAATAGTGATAGATGAAGTGCTAGCATGTAACAGATATGGCGAAACAAGTTCCATTTTTTGCGGTAGGACATGAAAAAGGACGATGCTAGGAAAAATAATCACGGGTCACAACGTAATTGTGAAGACAATCTTGGAATCTGATGCTAGGAATAGTACATGATGAGGCAACTGGAAAAACTGTACAACTATACTTATCTCTATAGAGATATGTAATTCTAATTCGTAATGAATCAACTACGGAGCTACACAAAATCTAGTGAGCTTATTTCCCCTTCTTCGGATAAATTATTTAAGTAATGTATCCAAAATATATGTAATTTAACTAGATGACGGAAAAAATGCTTTGTCCAGCCATCAAATCAGTGTCCACGCATTTGATGAAAGAAGTAAAATTACAAATCAGGCGCAGACTTCACAATCAAAGCTGATCAAATAATTGATCCCCCAAGGAAAGTAGGTGAACTTTATATTTTTCTATATACCCCCATCTCCCAATCAAAGTAGGCGAACGTTACCTCTTTCTATAGTCCCCTCCATAAACCAAGTCCATCCAATTAGTTCATAGTGAATGCTGATCGACTAAAGAACTAAGAAAAGCACCCCTAAACAGGTATTTCAAGAAATAATGCCATGCTGTCGGCGCTTTTCTCTTTTCTCAGAAGCAAATCACTAGGGGACACACCTAACAGTCTGAACTCCTTGTTTTTCTTAGCATAGAAATCTGGTTCCCAGACCCTTTCCCGTTGTTATGTTAGTCGGCTAGGATTTCCAAAATGGGAAAAAAAACCCAGAAAAGACTCTGAAAACCGGAATTACAAACCCAGAAACAGGAAAAATGGGGAAAAAGGCTAAGATCGTCGCAATAAGCCAATAACGGTCTAAAAATACTGATTGATCCTGAGGGAAGGCTCCAATATGATTACAGAGTTGACAGGGAACCCCGATTGAAAGGAATCACCATACGACCTAATTGCATTACAATCCCACAAATTGGGAGCGCGACCCATCAACCAAACGACCCCCGAGCATGATCCAAGCAAAAGTCTGAAGCCAATAGCAGAAAAAATCACAAGGCAAATAAAATAAATCAACCCCAGGGGAGCATGACTTCACGGGTGCACAGGATCCCGGCGTGCAAAAAGGAACCCTACCATAAAATCCTCACCCCCCTGATATTCCCCCCCATCACCAATCACATGGACGAGAAACACAGATCGACGCGGCAACCACAGGCCACAAAGGACGTGGAGGGGAATGTCTTTACCATTGCCTTGCGATTTCCCTGTCGTGTCAGCCCCAATAAGCGTCGCTTGCGTCACAACCAGACGTCGTCGGTACCTCGTCAGACCCCCTCTAATAACTAACCCTCCCACCCCTCCCCCTTTCCACACCCCCAAACCAGGCTCAAACCCTACCCTCGCCCTCCCCTGCGAAGAAGAGAGGGGCACCTCTCTGATACCCTCTCTCCCTCTGCAAATTAGGTCAAGGATTGGCTCTTCCTCGGGGAAAAAATACGACCTACTCGCACCCTCCTCACTCCATTACCCCCCTGCTCCATTCTACAGGTCAAAAATTAATCCACTTCAGCGCTGATTAGTCGCCGTTTCTGCTCATCTCCTCCCAGAATTCGATCCAATCAGAAGTCAACCCCTTTCCCCTCTCCCCTCTTCATCATCATCATCCTCCTCCACTTCCGGAGATCGTTGCAGAGGCCGCCCACCAAGACCCTCCAAACCGTCAGATCCCCCCATGATCCATCTCCGACCAGAAAACCCTTAACTGCCCCTCTATTTTCTCGGATTGACGATTTTACCGAAACGCCTGACGGTGCGGTCACCATAGTGACCGCACCGGAGTCTGTTTGAGGAGTTCCCGGCGGCGGCTTCGGGTACACGTTTCCTCGATATGCGTGAATCCAACGGTCTCATTTCCGCCCTCGGATATGTGGCCCAAAATGAGGACCATCGAATCAACGGCTGATCTTGCTTCACGAAGATTTTTCGGAGATACTTCGCATGAGATATAATATTACTTAAATGCCACATAATTAGACGTGTCTTGGATATGCTCGTAAATAAATTCCAGAATCCGTCTTATTTAATACGTCATTATTTTATCATTTTCTTGTCCCTCTCGGTCTGTAGCGTCAACTTGTTCAGTTGAGCCCAAGCCCGAAACTCAGGCCCGAAGCCCGTCTTTATAATTGAGACCAAAACTTTCGGGCCCACTCTGCTCCATGCCCGCAAAGCCCAAAATTTATTCTCGCAAGTCCCACTGTCTCTCTCTCTCTGTCTGCTATGTTCGGGCCGGGCGTATAAAGCCCCGGCCACGAATGGCTCTGTACTCTGTACTTATGTCGTGGAAATGTGGGGCCCGGTTCGTAATAACTCGGGACCCGTCTGAAACGCCTACTGCCCGTGTTCCTCATCATCTTCTCGGGGATTTATTTATTTCGTATAAAAACACTGTCCACGTGGATTTCATAAAATGGTTCTATTTTAATAAAAATGATATTTTATAATTAGTTAGAGTTTGAAATTTAAGGCACCAAATATTCGTATTTTCTAGCGAAGTTAATAATAAATAATAGTAATGAGTGAATTTGGATATTTAATTTATGCTTTTGAGGCCATATATTATTGCTACTATTTTTTAAATAAATTCATATAACTAAATACTTTAAATAATACCTAAAGTGTACATTCTTCACAAGTATATAATTATTTCGCATTTTAATTATTAATTACTGTGGAAATATGTAAATATATTTTTCGATTAATTTTTCATGCTCCTCACATAATAATTCGACGAAGAAAATAGAAAACCAGACAAATGACGCTGGCCACGAAATATTCTGATTTTTTTTTTAGGGCGGCAATCGTTAAAGCGCGTTGACACACGCACAAGGGGCCCACAGACAGCGGAAACTGCATGATTGTGAAATCGGCCGGGGAAACGCTATCGAACGGTTGAAAGGGAGCCACGCGTCAGATATCCAAGGGTGTGGCTCAACCGGTCGTTTTGTTTCGACGACTGAGGCCATCGCAAGGTTCATTGGCCACGTACCCAGTAGGAGGGTATTTTAGTGAAAAGGAGTAGATGGGCCCGACGAGCGGCAGGCATGCGGCGAGAAAAGTGGTCTAGGAGTTGCGGGCCCGGAAATAGCCTTGGGGTGCTTATGGTTAAATGTGTTCCGTCCACGTCACCAAATCGGACGGCTGAAAGGTGGCAACGTGTTAGATATCCAAGGGTGTGGGTCAACTGGTAACTTTTTTTTGACGATTGAGCCGGGGAAAAAGGGTAGAAGATCATTGCAGAGGTCACTTGCCACGTACCCCAAAACGGAGGGTATTTAAGTCCGAAATAGAGTGGGGCCCCAAGAGAACCAGGGGTATGTGGTGAGAAAAGAACCACTCGTCTAATAGATGTGGGCCCGAAAAGAAAATAGGGGCCCACAAGAACTCGTGGTTAAACGTGATGCGTCCACGTCACGTCACCGCATCTGATCCTAATCCCCAGGGGAGCAACCTCTTAAAGCTCTCTCCTTCTGTGCAAGATATCCTCTTCCCCTCCTCCCGCTCTCTCCGGCACCGCCAGGCGGCGCCACCGCTCGAGTGGGCGGAAGGAGGGGGCTATAGAAGCCGACTCCGCGGGTCTCCGTCGTAGGCAGCGATTGCAGTATCTGAGGGAGGTGGGTTGGTCTTGATCCGTGGAGCTGCTAGTTAGCAATGTTCTCTAACCCTAGATTTCTCCTCCGGTTCCCCCTACTCTCTCGCTGAGCTTGTTTTTGGGAAGTTGGGGGTGGTGAAATCGATGGAGCCTCCTCTATGATTTTTTGGATTCGGAGGTTAATTGGTTTCACGCAAAGATGGTTCGATCGGAAAAGGTGTTGGGTTATGATATTTCCTCTCGAATCTTCCGTCAGATATATATATATATATATATATATATATATATTTTTTTTTTTTCTCCTTCCTCTTCTTCATCCGTCTGTCCTTTGAAAAAGGCACTGTTATATGCCCAATGTATTGCTCCGTGAGAGATGGACACTTTAAGGATTCGATTCCTTTTTTCTGGTGTGTTTTTCCATTTCTACGATTCCACTGGAAATTAACAGAAAGTCCTGATTAGCTTGTTTAAGGGAAATTATGGATTCAAGGAGTGCATCAGCCTTCAGAACTGCAGAGGCTGTTTGTTCTTCCATGTTCTTGAGAGGGCATCTAAAGAGTTTATTTGGGCTGTTGTACCAATGCATGAAAAACTATGTTGTATATTGATGATATGAAATGTATATGCGTTGGTCATGGGACTGTATTTTTTTAGTGAATATAATTATTCGTTTTTTAACGTGGATATCTTGCGATTGCCTTTTGATTAAGATGCTTTCTCTGGTAAATCTCTGCGACGTGATAGAATCTTTATTTGTCATGGAAGGAACAGATTACTCAAATGGGATATGAATTTTTTCCCCATATCCTTTGGAAAGTTTTATTCCTTTGCATGCTTTTGATGCGAGGGAATAGTCTCCTGCCCCTGTAAGTCACGATTGTTGGCTTACTGATATAAATCTGACTTGTCATTCATGACTTATGAAATAATAAAAATATCTTGAAAAAGATACGATGAGAGAGGGAGGATCTTACTTGCATACGAATCTATTCACGCATATGACTTTATATGATAAAATAAATAAAATTAATATAATTTTGATTGATGGGAATAGTTTTACCGGTTTCCACTTAAATTTAATGTATTTCCTTTTCAAGTGTTGATCATGTGAACAAGTTGTTTCGTTTTCTATGATAAATAGATTATCAGGGACTTCTGCTACCATCTGACAGACCAATAACACCAAGATTGTCAGAATCAAGTCAACCCAGGATAGGAACTTTAGTTTAGTGTTTATTTCATGATATAAATCTATGTTCAGACTATCACTAGAGGTATTATTTCAGAGATTGGAGCGTGAATTTGATATGATATAACGTTTAAGTCAAAATTTCAGGTTTTGTAGACTTGGTCGCATATAAAATGGCATCCTTATCTGCTTCATCAAATGCAGCGCTGCCTTCACTTACAGTCTCCTTGAGAAGTACATCAGGTAGATATTCTTTCATTTTTCTCGCAAAACGACATTTTATGCCATTACATTAGATGGAAGATACCTTTTTTTTTGTAAAAATTAAGCCAAAGAATCTGTAGAGCAGAATATGCATATATCGATTGTTTTTTCTTGTGTTTTTATCGATTTATTTTTTCTCTGAATATTATTATTCTTGTATCATTTTTCTTTCAAAATGACATTTGATACTATTATATTAGACGGAAAATGGTTTACATGGATGGTAACTTTGGCAAAATACTTTTTTTGTTATGTTTTGTAGAAATTAACCCAAAGAATCTGTACATCAGAATATGTATTTATCGACTGTTTTTTCTTGTGTTTTTATTGATTGATTTTTCCTCTTAATATTTTTATTCTTGCGTCATTTTTCTATCTGTAAATCATATTATGTATGTATCGACTGTTTTTTTCTTGTGTTTTTATTTATTGATTTTTCCTCTGAATAATTTTACTGAAATTCCAGCTCTTCTCTTTAATTTCTTCCTCTCCACTGAATGCTTATCTTTTTCTCATCTCAATCCGTGTGAACAGAACTTTCCCTGTGTGGGAGGATCAGGCTTACGAAATCTCAGCCATTTCGTCAAACCCAATTGGCCACGTGTGCTCACCGACCTCATGCCGCCATGCTTGTCTGTGCTGCTTCTGCTTTGGTGAGTCCATTGACTTGCTTTCCCCTCTCAACAAATAAAACCCTGGTAGCCAGGAGGGGGAGGACAAGGCGGCAGGTAGCCTGGTGGCAGTGGCAGTGGTGGCAGCGGAGGAGGATAAGGATGCGAGTACCCTACAGATAGCCCATCCAACTAGGATAATAATAGTTTGACTATGATTAAATTGACTGAGAAACTATGAAACAAGAAGATTATAATTGTGGGGAGCTAAAACCAAATAATCATTATGTTTAGAGCCAAAGTCAACTATTGAGGAACATTCATGCTGAGTTGACCCTTTCATGTCTCAGACCGCCAGATGCGCAGCAGAGCAGACTCAGACAGTCACCCGGCAATCATCGACAATCACCATCGCACCCATCCAAGGTTCTGATCTGATGATTTCCATATTTAGCATCTTATGAATCCCTGGATTTGTGGATTTCTGGCCGCATGTGAAACTGGGTCTTGCTTAATTTTGCCAGGCAAGGAGAAGTCCCCGGACCTTGATGATGGCGGCACTGGGTTCCCCCCTCGTGACGATGATGATGGTGGTGGCGGTGGCGGAGGCGGCGGCGGTGGCTGGTCTGGTGGCTTCTTCTTCTTCGGCTTCCTTGCCTTCCTAGGTTTGCTGCAGGATAAGGAGAGGGATGGGGATTACAGGGATCAGAAAAGAAGATACAGCAGATCATACTGAGTGGGTTGACTGATTCCCCCTTCCTCCCATGTACACTTGTCACATGGGCTCTGCTCCCACCTCAATGCAAGCAAGTTTTAATGGTGATTTTCTCCTAGATTTGACCGTCAGTCAACTGGGGCATTTTATTGGGTACTATATTTAGATGTATTTAGAAAAAGCCCTTTTATTCTTATTTTCCCGGATTTGGGCCTCGAAGTCAACCCATCTTTCTCTCTCCTACTCTCTCTCTCTCCAATAGTTGCACATGAAAACTGGGGCGAGCCGAGCTGGAACATTTTGAGCTCCTCATCCAGAGCCCATTTTAAGTGATTTTCTCCTAGATTTGACTTCTAATTTGGCCATTTTATTGGGTGGTCTATTTAGAGTTATTTAGAAGAGCCCTTTTTTTTCCCCCGGATCTGGGGTTCGAAGTCAACCCATCTTTCTCTCTCCTATTCTCTCTCTCTCTCTCCAATAGTTGCACATGAAAAGTGGGGTGGGCCGAGCTTGAACATTTTGGGCTCCTAATCCAGAGCCCATTTTAAGGGTTTTTCGCTGCTTCGCTCTCTCTCTCCAATAAGTATAGATGAGACTGGGCCGGGCCGGGCCCATTTAAAAGGGTTTTCCTCTTCGCTTCTCTCTCTCTCTCTCTCTCGCTACCTTGGGATTATTATATATTCAGGACGCCGAAAAATGTAATTCTAACGGATATCGTTGACGAATCATCACCTGCCACGACTCATTTCCCCGAGTTTTTTTTGTGGCCCAAAATTGTGGCCCCACTAGTGTAATGGGCCCACTAAAAAAGAAGAGTAAAAAAAACATATCCAGGTCCCTAATGGGGCAGGCCCAATAATCACACCAATGCTCCCAATACTGGAAACACGGCTCATTAACAGAGAAGGGTTATATACAGGATTCCATTCTCTCTCTCCTCCTTTTCCTCCCTTGTCTTCTCCCTCTTCCTCTGGTTCCACCATCTCACAGCAAGCGTATGAACTAGCTGGGAGTAGGCTTCGCGCAGCCGTCGGAGTGGTCGATCCCTTTGGACGCCGTTGCCAGGGCCGCCGCCACCGTAGCTCTGGAGGTTTCGCGGTTCGTGAATTTCATTGGATTCAGGTTTTCGTATCTCGTCGGAGCTTGTTTTGCTGAGTTTGTTAGGGTTTCCGTGGATGTGTATTCGAAGTTCAGCGGTGGAGAGTTATTGGTCTGGTTTTGATCGTATCGCGATTTGATTGCAGGTAGGCTCGGAAGATGGAGGATTCTGTGGAGAGGGGGCGCCGCGACGAGCAGATGGAGGATGGCGGGGAGAACGGCGGAGATTTTGGGCTGGAGGACGTCGGGAGAAGTTCCGGTAAACACAGCCGGAGTAAGGACCGGAACAGGAAGGAGAGGCGGGAAGAAAAGGACCACGGGAGTAGGAGAGAGCGAGAGGAGGAGCCGGATAGGAAGGAGCGGAGGAAGGTGGACGGTAGGGAGGAGAAGGACAGAGAGCGAGAGAAGGAGGATTCGGATAGGAAGGAACGGAGGAAGGGGGATGATCGGGAGGAGAAGGACAGGGAGCGGGAGAAGGAGAGGAGCCGGGACAAGACCCGGGAGAAAGGCCACGACAAGGATGGTAAGCTCGGGGAGGACAGGGAGAAGGAGGGAGAACGGGAGAGAGAGCCGAACAGTGAAAGGGAGCGTAGCTATGACAGGGAGCACGAGAGGAGCAAGGAAAAGGGGAAGGATAGGGGCAGAGAGCAGGACAGGGATAGGGATGTGGAACGGGACAGAACCTCTGAGAAGTTGGAGCATGACAGGGGGAAAGAGCGTGAGAGAGCGCATGACTATGGAAGGGATCGAGAGAGAGAGAGGGATCGCGAGCGGGGAAAGATGCGGGAGAGGGATCACGAGACGGAGCGGGGGAGGGAGAAAGATCTTGAAAGAGGGAAGTACAGGGACAGGGAGAGGGAGGAGCGAGACAGAAACAAGGAGCGGGAGAGGGAGAAGGACAGGATTAAGGACCGCGAGAGGGACAAGGAGAAAGAGAAGGAGAGAATCGATAAGGGAAAAGAGAAATTGAAGGACAGAGACAAGGAGAAAAGGTTGGAAACAGACCGAGATAGGTCCAGAACCAGGGACAGAGAAAGAGTAGGGGACGAGGGTGACAGGCTGAAAATTGAAGGCAAGGAAAGTAGAAATTCTTTGGAACAGGTTAAAGCCATTGAAGGTGAGAATAGAGATATTCATGCAAGAGATGCATCCAAGGATCATGAACAAAACCTAGCGTTTCAGCAACTGTCCACTTCTGAAATTGAAGAACGCATAACAAAGTAAGTAGTCGTAACTTACCTCTGTGCTGCTTTATAATTCCATTGTCATGCAGCGGCACTGCTTTATGAGCCGTTTTCTTCCCTTGTTGTCTTGATATTTTGATATTGTATTGATGTCTTTCTCTTGGTATCTGTACATTCTTCTTATGTGTGTCTATACCGGAGTTTGATGGTATTTATCAAGTTTATACTACAAGAGTTATGGTGACAATACCATGCCAGATAAGTTTTGGGTCCTAGCTGTAGGTTTTTCTTTTTCATTCTGGCAGCCCATCAACTTGGCTTTCAGCTAAACTGTTTCGTGGATGTTGTCAGGTTGACAGCCAAAACTTATTCTGTCTCCAAAAATGTTTCTGAAGAGACCACTGACCTATTGCCTTTGATGGATACAGCTGACTGGCCCATTTTGTTGGTATTTTTAGTTTCGTAGTTCGTTCATAAAGCCCATGAATTATGCTTGCATCCACTTACACTACAGAATATCAACAAACATCAATCAAACATGTATCTCCCGTCGCCTATTTTTTTAAGGGAACCTTTTGGATTTATTTCTAATTCCAGGATCCTATATGTTTCTTCCTACCTTTTGACTGTTCTTGTGGGATCCATTATGGACCCTTGTGAGCAGTTGAGATTATTCAGGACGTATTATTGATAAGATTTTTCGAACTTAGTTGATCCCTGACTACCGGCTTATAGCTACTGCTTCTGTCATTAACAGTGATGGTGATATGGCTTACTATTTGCTAAAATATCAATGTAAGCCTACTCAGGTTGCTTATGATTACATTGTGGCGCTAGGCCACTCGTTTAATATATTAACGACACTCAGAATTCGGGTTTTTTATTGGTTATATGCTTCTTGAACTACAAGCTTCCCTGATTCAGAGGAGGTTGTATGACGTTCCTCAGTGGAATGTATCATTTTACTAAATTTTGATTTTTCATGAGGTACTTCTGTGTCATTTGCAGGACTAATGGCCATCTGGTACATTGGAAGGCTGGGTTCCTCAAAAGAGGATCCACAAATCTGGTTGTTATCTTCCTGAAAATTTGGATTCTTTCAATTTTGTAAAGAATACGGGGTATGAGTTGTCTATGAGAAGATTGAATTATTTACTCGGATTTTTCTGCATTTTTATTCATATGGGGCGGTGAAGGTGCTGACTGAACCGTGCTCAAGTGACACTCACTTCTCCTCTTGAAACCAAATGAGACTTTTTTTCGTGTTTTTACTGGCTTAAGACGAGTCGAGACTCATTCCTTTTGTCTTTCTGACCTGGTGTAGCTTCTGGTCAGCTAAGCATAGTTGCTAAAGTATAAGGATCCCTTGTTTCTTTGGTCGATTGGCTTCCACTGTGAAGCTTAAAATCTTGGATAATCCAACAATCTTCTTTAGTAGTTGTCTCTCGTTTTACTGAGATCTCTAACAATTCCAATTTTTTTTTCCATGTGACAATGTGGATTTTCTGGTATGATGTGATTGCTCATTTTTAACATTTTTTAGCATGGGTAAATACTTTTCCTGAGGGACTAAGTGATGCCGAGATCAAAATTGAAGATAAAAGTTCCATGGCGACTAAATACGTTGTAGTGAGTAGGAATGACGAAAAATGATGAGAAACAAGAGTTAACTTTTATTGAACTTTTGTCTGGACCTAGATCTTTTAAAATTTTTCATTCAAATTACTGTCCACCAAGTTTGATACGCATTTATGTGTTTAGGATCCTACAACGTGCTTTAAGGTATTGCTTCAATTGTTTAGTCAGGGTAACATGTAGCTTGTAATCAATCATCTTACAATACTTCCAAACCAAGATGCACATTCTTTCCATCTCCTTTGGAAACAGGTATTTAGCTGTCATGCTGGATCCCATGACATAAGTTGCTATTCATGAACTCATCAAGAGCTAAATAGCCTACAGCCTCTTGAAATTTTAGGTAAATTTTTAACGTCTAGAAGATGCAAACGCTGGCTAGAGCCATCATCTACAGATGTGCCTATTGTCTGCCTCAGACAACACGCAGATCATTGTAATCTCTTTTTAGCTCCTGTTTTCCTTATGAATCCTTAGCGAATTGGATTCCATTTCTGGCCTATAACTTGACAGACTTGTTAGAGAGTATTCTAAGTGTTTTAGAACTTGCCTGTATCATGTCATATCAGTATGGGTATGGCTGAAAGAAAATGTAAACCCCATATGTGCGTCATTTATTGAGGCGTCTACCATTCAACTATGAACACTATTCTTATTGCATTACACTAGTAATATATTTTACAGTCTGAAATTCATGTTTCTTCTATTTCCTTAGTGCGTTAAATTGCTTGTAGATTACTTTTAGTAGATACATAGTCTCCAAAGAATGGAGAAAGCTGTGAAAGTTGTGGATCCTTTTATCAAAGCAGAGTCAATAGTACAACTAACTTGGAAACCGGTGGATTCTCTCATCCTAATCATAAGGTCATTAGACAGGGATTGGTGGAGAACTATCAGAAGAAATCTGGAGAGTAACAAGGGTCGTGGTGTACCTATAACATTACTGCATTCTGTGACAAGGGAGTATGGTTTCAAAAGTTTAGTGCCACATACTGTCTGAGTTATCTGTGGCCGCAATTTCTTCTGGGGTTACCTATTGTTAAAAGATGGATATAGTAGCATTGTTTATTCCTAGGCTTCGTTGTTTTTTTTTGTCAAGTTGGTATATGTTGCGACGAGTTCTAGTCAACATCCAATGGGGATGAAAGGACGTGAGATCGCAATTTTTGTGTTTTGGGATATTTAATCTGAATTGCATTTGGACAGTGATATGTGTAACGCATGGTGAATGGATGCTGTATGTGACAGTGGAGGGGAGATTCTGCACAATGGTTTGCAGTATCCTTTTGACGGTGATTTTGATGTTTCGAGTATATTCCAGGACCTTTAAAATTTCTAGTTTATTGTTTCTATCTTCTGGTACAAACCCTCCATAGATCTCTTTTGGCTCTGGTATATTTGTGTGGAGGGGATTTGGGGGATTATATGCATCTAATTTTAATACGAAAAATGCTACCAATGAGGTGTAGGCTCGCTTCTGTTACAGAAGCTCGTACAGTTTTTTGGAGGACCTATATGATATGGTCAGTCATTCAAGGAAATTGAACATCTTTTTGTTTTTCCCGATTTATTGTCTTGTCTACAGTAAATGGCTACAATTTACCCACTCGTTTTATTTTGCTACCATCTAATTTTGGTCGTATGGCACATGTTTTCCTTCAAATTGGTGTTTTTTTTTTTTCGAAAGTTGATGTGGTGGACTGAAAATTCAGGCTAAACTCTGCTGATTTTCTCGTAGTTGGTAAAGGAGAGAAATTACCTCTTGCTAATTCTCAAGATTTTTTTTTAATTCATCGTCAACAAGTGACGACAGCTAATGAATATTCATTCATTTGGTCAGCCTCATTCTCATTACTTTCTGGGTGTTTATTTCCAATGTTTAATTCTGGCATGCTTTTTGAAAGTGTATTTCGCATGGTTGTGGCCTCTAGTTTGGTATTTTCTGCTACGAGTGCTCTCTCTTGATTGAAGAAGGTAAATAACAAAGGAAACTGTTCCCTCTACGTCATATAATGCCATTCTGAAAAGGAAATGTTTGCCCTCGCTCTCTGAGGCACCATACATATTCCAGGAGTAGTAGGACAAAATCCCACTTGTCAGGGTTTAATCTGTAAATCCCAAAGAGTGGCTCCACACTTATATAAAGAAGAGTGAGGAGGGAAAAGGATGAGGGTGATTTTCAGGAGCTTGGGAGAGCAATTACCCTCTCAAACATTTACCACACTTGTTCTTGGATCCTATCCGGGATCCGATTTCTTTTATTTTCTTGTTTCTTTTGCTTACTGAAATTCCACCACATTGACTTGTTCCTCTCTCAGTGATGGATTGTTATGTTACATCAACGTTTTCCAGTTTTGTTTTTCTACATTTCTTTCAATTGAAAAGGCGGTTCGATGTTCCTTATCAAGATGCATTGCGCCTTATGGCTTTGGTGTTTGAATGTCTTTTATAGGATGAAGCAGGAGAGATTGAAGAAAAAGCCCAGTGGTGAATCTGAGATCCTTTCTTGGGTCAACAAGAGCAGGAAACTTGAAGATAAGAGGACTATTGAGAAGCAGAAAGCTTCTCGACTCATGAAGGCTCTGGAAGAGCAGGTGATGATCGCTATCATGATCTGTCCTCGTTTTTGTTCTCAAAAGATACCGTGTCCCTTACTTTGGGTACCTTTTTTCTAGGATAATATCAATGAAGAAAGTGAGGAGGAGGAGGGGGCAGCTGGGCTTGTTGGAAGTAATACATTCTCGAAAACTTTGCCTTACATCCGTTTGATCTCCTAATATTTTCACATATATATATAGATATACACATTCATAGTATACATGCTAAATTCTGTCTAAAGCCATTGATTTCTGACATGCTTAACATCTCTTTTTGCCTTAAACAGAGCATCTTGCTGGAGTTAAGATCCTTCACGGCCTTGATAAGGTGCTTGAAGGTGGAACTGTGGTTCTTACTCTCAAAGATCAGAGCATTCTTGCAAACGGTGATGTCAACGAAGGTAACTGGACGCTTGAATTCATACTGGTCATGTCTGCTACCTCAAACTTTCCCTCGTCCTTTTTATATTATTTTATTTTATTTTTTGACTGTCTGAGCAGACATTGACATGCTTGAGAATGTCGAGATCGGAGAGCAGAAGCGCCGAAATGAGGCCTACAAGGCTGCAAAGAAGGGAGCTGGGGTATACGATGACAAGTAAGGAAATTACTATGATAAGCTGTGAGTTTTCCTCCCATGCTTCATTTGCCTGTGTTCTTAATTCGACCCCCCCTCTCTCTGCCTTAGGTTCAGCGAAGAGGCACTCTCTGAGAAGAAGATGCTTCCCCAGTATGATGAGCCAAACCAAGACGAGGTCCATCCTTTCACAGCTTCATGACTCCCCAGTATGACGGTTCCAATACTTTTTCCCTGATCTGCTTTCCTTTTTTAGGGGGTCACCCTGGATGATAGCGGACGCTTCACTGGTGAAGCTGAGAAGAAACTTGAAGAGGTTCATTATTCACCACCATTTTATTCATCTCCTCTCCTTGATTGCTTTTTATAAGACCTTCTCGTCATTGGTTTCTTCAGTGATTGCCTTCTTATTTTCAAACTATATTTTTCACGGACAGCTGCGGAGAAGAATACAAGGAAACGTCGTGAGCAAGAACTACGAAGATCTTACCACTTATGGAAAAACCTCGTCGGATTATTTCACCCCCGAGGAAATGCTTCAGTTCAAGAAACCAAAGAGGAAGAAGTCTCTGAGGAAGAAGGAGAAGCTGGACTTGGACGCTCTTGAAGCTGATGCCAAGTCTGTCGGCCTGGGGGCCAGTGATCTGGGCTCCAGGAAGGATCAGATCAGGTCATCCTCGAAACTGGAACAAGAGAGAGCCGAGGCGCAGATGAGGAGCGAGGCCTATGAGTCTGCTCTTGCCAGAGCTCAGGAGGCATCCATGGCTCTCGCCCGAGCAGAGACTCTCACCATTGTCAAGGCCGAAGAAGACGATGGCCCCGTTTTTGGTGAAGATTATGAGGATCTGCAGAGGTCCTTGGAACGGGCGAGAAAACTTGCTCTCAGCCGGCAGGAGGAAGCTGCAGCTTCTGGCCCTCAGGCCATCGCGCTCGAGGTGAAATCAAAAACTGTTGAGATTGAAAATCGAACATCCACCGAACCCCAAGAAAATAAAGTTGTCATCACCGAGATGGAGGAGTTTGTACTGGGTCTTCAATTCAATGAAGGTATGCTTCTCTCTCTCTCTCTATTATTTTGGTCATGCTCTCTGTTTCCGTTTCCAATGCTTCAATTCATCAGTGAATTACTGTTAGTGGATAATTGATATCATGGCATGCCTCTGTCTGTCTGTCTGTCTGTCTGTCTGTCTCTCTAATATTTTGGTAATGCTCTCTTTCTGTTTCCAAAGCTTCAACTTATCAATGAATTACTGTTAATGGATGATTGATATCATGGCATTCTTCTCTCTCTATCTCTCTCTCACTATTATTTTGGTCATGCTCTCTTTCTCTGTTTCCAAAGCTTCAATTTATCAATGAATTACTGTTAATGGATGATTGATATCATGGCATCCTGTCCAATTATTCAGACACCCACAAGCCCGACTCAGAAGACGTCTTCATGGATGAAGAACAAGAAGAGAAAGAACTCAAGGACCACGTCGAGGATGTGGGTGATGAGGCCAGCGCCTGGTCCGAATTAATGGAGACAGATGTCGCTGAACCGTCCATTAGCAAAGAAGAAGAGGATGTCGTCCCCGACGAGGTGATTCACGAGGTTGTAGTAGGGAAAGGCCTCTCGGGGGCCCTCAAGCTGCTCCAAGACCGAGGAACCCTAAAGGAGACCATCGACTGGGGCGGCCGAACCATGGACAAGAAGAAGAGCAAGCTGGTCGGTCTGGTCGACAATGATGGCTCTGGCTCAAAGGAGATCCGCATCGAGAGGCTCGACGAGTTTGGCAGAATTGTAAGTCAATGATTCCTTTCTCCTAATAAAATCCAAAACCCTTCTTGTAGAATCATCGTTTTATTATTTATCTGTGGATTTGCTTTTATTTATTTATTTATTGCCAGAATTTTAAGTCAACGATGCTTTTCTCCTAAGATAATCAATAATCTTCTCTTCTTCTAAAATCATCATCTTATTTGTTATCTCTGCGCTTGTGTTTTATTTGTTTATTTATTTATTGTCAGAGTATTAAGTCAACAATTATTTTCTCGTAAAATAAACAATAATCCTCTCTTCTTCCAAAATCATCATCTTATTATTTATCTCTGTGGATGATTTTATTTTTTATTTTTTTTGTCTGAATTTTGGTTGGTGTGTGAGCTTCCAAACAGATGACACCAAAGGAGGCCTTCCGGATGCTCTCACACAAGTTTCACGGCAAGGGGCCCGGCAAGGCAAAGCTGGAGAAGAGGATGAAGCAGTACCAGGAGGATCTGAAGCTGAAGCAGATGAAGGCTTCCGACACTCCCTCCATGTCGGTGGAGAGGATGAGGGAGGCCCAAGCTCGCCTCAAGACTCCCTATCTTGTGCTCAGCGGACACGTCAAACCAGGGTCAACTCTCCCTCTCTCTCTCTCTCTAGTTCTATCGCTGGGGATCATCATTGGAAACTTATTTTTCTCCTTCTGATTCATGGAATGCAGGCAAACGAGTGACCCGAGGAGTGGGTTTGCCACAGTGGAGAAGGATACTCTAGGGAGCTTGACCCCCATGTTGGGCGACAGGAAGGTCAACGCCCAGCCCACTTGCCCCACCTGTCAACTTTATTCATAAATGTCAAAACCCTGGCCTAGAGAGAATTGTAGCGTGGCCTTGTTTAAAATGCTTGCTTCCTTTTGTCAGGTGGAGCATTTCCTGGGGATCAAGAGGAAGGACGACTCTGGAGGCATGGGCCCGCCACCTCCAAAAAAGTCAAAGAGTTGACTCTCCCCCTGGCTCCCCAGTTTTGTTCTCACCGAGAGGGTGTGCGGGCGTTGTGGGGGTAAGACTTTCTCTCCTGTTCCCCCCTGGTCTACTACCATAAATACCTGGAATTTTCTAATGATTAAAGTGGCCGTGGGGAAGTCCTAGAGTCCATTACTTTGTACTCTCTCTCTCTCTCTCTCTCTCTCTCACTAAATATGTCTGATGTAGAGAAGCGAAGATCCCCTTCTCCCTGTTTGTGTCATTGTTTCATCCGTCTCCTATGAAATGGTGCCGTTCTTGGGTTGACCAACCTGCTGACTTGTTGTTCTTGGGTTTTGGTGAATTTGGGTAAACAACATTTTTTATGTTAAGATGGAGCTTTTCAGACGTCAGACACGGGGAAATGAGCTTGTAAACAGCTGTGCGCAGAAAAAAATAATTTCCATTTATATATGCCCTTTTGCTCTCTTCCTTGTACAAAAAGAATTGGCTCTAGTCCCGCGGTCAACGCAACTGGTGGGTCAAATAGTAGACTTTGAGGAATTGATCTCAGCTCTCTCCCACCCTCTCTCTCTCTCTCTCTCTCTCTCTCTCTCTCTCTCTATCTATCTATCTGTTTGTCTGTCTCTCCATCAAGCTAGGTGATGTATCAAATAGGAGGTTTATATGTATTCATGTAATAAGCTCCATCTCTCTCTCTCTCTCTCTCTATAGATATATATATATATATATATATATATATATATATATATCTAGCGGAGCTGCCCATCATAAATTCCTCGCTCGTTAACCGACTCTTCAGCGGCGCCGCCCTTTGACCAGTTGTTCCCGCGGCAGAGTACTCACCTCGCTCGCGGTGGCCTCACCGGGACGCTCCTTTCTCATGGACAACTCCGTCTCATTCAATCTGAGCCACACCGTCCAATTACTCGGGAGCTGTCGGCTCCGTTGAGCCCGCCACGGTGGCGCGTTATCCACTCATCCACCTTAATGTTGTGGACCCTAACGGCGGCGGTTGTCATCCCCACCGGCCATCTTTTGTTCTTTTTCTGTTTTTAAATCACACCCATTATTACTGTCACTATTCTTTTCATTAAATACTCATAGAAATTTTGTGATGCCTAATTTTAAGACTAGGACGTCATTTTCTTATTGTCCAAGAAATTATTTAAATAAATATATTAATATAGCATTATAAATCTTTTCCGTATCAGCTCAGGATCTGTACCGTCCTACAATCATCACGTTTTCTATACTACATTTTGGCACCAAGCTGCTGTGTAACAATAATATTAGATACAGTATCATAAAATATAAATATAAATATAAATATAAATATAAATAAGAATCATCGAGAGCTGAAGCAGGTTCGTCATCATTCATTGTCGTGCAATCGTTGTTGAAGGATGGCAGAGTGCCCGCCGAGAGCCTGGAAGTTGGTTTGATCGGATTACCGAACAAGTCAATTATCTTCTACCAGGTCGCTCATATTATCTGGATCTGGAGAGACGACGATGGGGGTTCGGTGGTCTCCATCTCACGTTCTACACGCGCGCGGGGACCAGATGGGAACCGCCAAATCGATCCTCTCCGATCACCTGAAAGCTTGCTGGCGGCCGGCTGGGAGGTCCACACCAACGCCGAAAAGAAAAGAAAAGAAAGAAGGCCGATGATGATATGGAGCAAGATATTTCGAGAGAAGCGAGTCCGATACGCCAGTTTCTCTATCATCCATCCCCCTTGACGTAGCCTATTATTGCCCGGCGGGTGTTTAGAAAAAGGGTAACGATCCGAACGCCGGCTCTGTACGCATCCGCAATGGATCCTCTTTGCTCCTCCTTTATCTCCACCGCCGGCGTCACCTTTCCCCACGGCCTCCGCCCCCAGTCGGGCGCCAAGGTCCTCCCTTTGAGCCATCGCTTGCGCCGCACCTCCGCAGTTCTCAAGAAGGATGGCACCGCTGTCCCGACTTCTTCATCTTCGCCCACATATCCTGGGGGCAAGGAGGCCCTCCCCGCTCTCCTCAGGAAGCTGATCGAGGCGACTCCCACGTCATCCCTGGCCGACTCCCTTAGAAAGACCTTCGAAGCGATCGTCGACAGTTTTATGGCCCCTACTGCCCCCCTTCCCCACAACGACCCCCGCTACGTCCTCGCCGGCAACTGGGCTCCAGTCGGCGAGCTGCCCCCGACACCTTGCCCCCTTGTCAGGGGAAGAATCCCCCCCGCCCTTCGGGGCGGTGCCTATCTCCGCAATGGGCCGAATCCCCAGCACTTTCCTCTCGGGACTTACCACCACTTCGACGGCGACGGCATGCTTCACTCCATCCTCCTCCCCGGAGGTGGTGACGGCACTGCCCCTGCTACATTGTGCAGCCGTTACGTACAGACATACAAGTACCTGGTGGAGCGGGAGGCCGGCAGGAACGTCTTCCCTACCATTTTCTCAGGCATCCACGGCGTTGATGGCCTCGCTCGTCACGCCGCTTTCGCCGCCCGCGTGGTCACAGGACAGACGGAACTCGCCGCAGGCCTCGGCGTCGCGAACACCAGCCTCGCCTTCATCGGCGGTCGTGTCTTCGCCCTCGAAGAGGCGGATCTCCCCTACGCCGTTCACCTCTCCCCATCCGGCGACGTGACCACCATTGGCCGGTGGGACTTTGGGGGCGAACTCTCCACCTGCATGACGGCCCATCCTAAGAAGGACGCCATCACCGGCGAGGTTTTCGCGTTCCGGTGTGGCGTGGTGCCCCCCTTCGTCACCTACTTCCGCTTCGACGCCGAAGGAAAGAAGCAGCCGGACGTGCCCATCTTCTCCGTTAGCCAGCCCGGCTTCTTCCACGACTTCGCCATCACCGAAAACTACGCCCTCTTATTCGATACGCAGATCGTAATGCAACCGTTGCAGATGGCGTTCGCGGGTGCCTTTCCCCTCGGCACCGATTCCGCGAAGGTGCCCAGGGTCGGTATACTACCGCGGTACGCGGAGTCCGATTGCGACATTAGGTGGTTCGAGCTGCCTGGATTCAACCCGGTGCATATCGTCAACGCATGGGAGGAGGACGGAGGTGCCACCGTGGTACTGGTGGCGCCCAACATGCTGCCTATGGAGCGTCCGCTGGAAAGGATGGAACTCGTCCAGTGCTGCGTGGAGATGGTGAGGATCGACCTCAAGAGCGGAGCCGTATCCCGGACCCCGCTGTCCTCAGAGAACCTCGACTTCGGCGTGATCAACCCGAACTACCTAGGCCGCCGCAACCGCTACGCCTACCTCGGCGTGGGAGACCCGCAACCGAAGGTGGGTGCCGTGGTGAAGCTCGACATGGAGAAGAAGGGTGGCGACTGTGTGGTCGCTTCCCGGATCTACGGTCCCCGGAGGTTCGGTGGCGAGCCCGTCTTCGTACCGGCGCTGGTCGAGGGCGAGGGGGAGGACGACGGGTACCTAGTGACGTACCTGCACGACGAGAACACGCGAGAGTCGAGCTTCCTCGTGATGGATGCGAGGTCCCCGGACTTGGAGGTGGTCGCCGAGGTGTCCCTGCCCTGTCGGGTGCCGTATGGCTTCCACGGCCTGTTCGTCACGGCGGAGGAGCTCCGTTCACAGAAGGGGAAATCCTAGTCATCCATACTGGGTGAGGTATGGGAGAACAGGTGAAGACAGGTGAGGGAGAGGGATGGGAGATGATAATGGGTGAACAGTAACACAACAGTAGATGCTGACGACTTATGACGAGTCATACTGTTCCTCTCCGCGGATGATTACGTGAGAGGAGAAAGACTTGTGAAGACAGGTGAGAGAGAGAGGGATGGGAGAGGATAATGATCCTTAGAGCGGGTCATACTCTCTCTCAAGCACCCTTAGAGCGGGTGAGACTCCACGACTACTTTTTTCTTTTTATGGTTCCACCTTTTCGTCTTACACATAGATGACAGTAGAAGACCGTTACTCATGATTTGATCTGGAGTAACCTGGCACACGTTTTCTGAAGAAGACACCTGAGTTATAGAAGGTGTGATGAGCTGACCCTTACGTGGAGTTGATCGGTTCGTGGGGGACATCTAAGGGTCTATCAGACTCCCACTCACCACTCGTTAGGGAAGCTACACCAAGTGAAAAATATAGACGATTAGTTAGTTAGGACAATCGTTGTATAACCAGACACCAAAAGATGATACTGCTTCCCAGATTGGATAAAAGTGCGAACCAATAGCTGTAGCCGAAATAGGAATGAAAATGTGGAGAGAATGGGCTAGATTTAGGGCAGAAGGTACCTAAAGTGAGAAGTAAAGGGGACCACCTCCCTTTAGCCCAATGACCTGAAAAGAAAAAGTAAGTAATAAATGGTCTAAAGCCATCGACATCTTTGTAGTCCTTTTTTTTTGACTTTTTTAATAAATGCCAAAATTCTCCCTTAGTACCAAATGTGTAACACTAAATTTAAACAACTTGATATAATTAAATACCTTTTTAAAACCATCCGTAACTTGGTCATTTGTTGAAGAAAACTACATCTCAAAATAATTAGCAATAACTTAATTTCAAAATAATTAGAGTTTTAACTTCGTAATAACAATCATTAGAATTCTATGCGTTCAAGAGGATTGTCGTGCGATGTCCACAACCTCAAAGACTTTCTTTGGACATAAGTGACTTGGGTAATCTCTAAATCTTTTTGTAAACTCTAAAAATTAATGAAATGAGTTGACAAATTATCTTTGATGATTATTGCCCAGTGGAACAAAAAAAATAATGACTTTTGAACCTTTGGCAGTTGTCATCTGAAAGAGATAAGCAAGATGGAGTTGGGTCACATTTTAGGGAGCTTCATTTTTATGTCCACAGAGTAAGAGTAGGCCCTTCATGAGGTGGCAACTTATCTTCCATTGGATCGTCCTCTTCTCAACGATGACTCATTCATTGATCAATTCAAAATGATTTCCTCGATAGATTCATGATCTTTTTATGTAGAATTATTCAGAAATTGGTAACAATGCTCCGTGAATCGTGTTGACAATATTTTGTTGATGATTGAGTGATTTTGGTGACTTAATTATTGACTGGTGCTCTACAAAAAAATTATGATTTAATCAAATAAAAATATGAATTTTGGTTCTATTCAAATTTGAACCCTCGCTAATTGTTCACTAATAAGTCTTCATTATCATGAGTTAATAATTAGTAAATAATATAGTTTTAGTCTTAACTCGTGATAAATAGACTTATATTTGTGTTAAAGTGTGAAAATGATTTTTAGTTGATTAATGTGATTTTTTGGGTAATTATGTGATTTTATATGAATTTATATGATTTTTACAGTCTTACTTTTGAGATAAATGAAGAAAAAGAAATAAAACTAAAAATATTGCAAAATGTGGGGACCCGTCGGCCAGCCGGGCCCGCAAGCGGGTCAGAAGCGCAATCGGGGAGTAGCCGCGAGTAAGGGCTCGAGTAGCTTGAACCAATGATGTGGACACGTGTGCGACACTCCCCTTCCACGTCACCAGTGGCCAGCCGGCTGTGGGGCAAGGAGTGGTCGTACACGCGCTCTTGATCATGAATCTAATATTACTTTATATTCGCCAGAAACTTCGGCGCACAACCAATGTGGGACTAAACCCGCGTCACCTTCCCCAAAAAGGGGGGGCAACTGGCACGGGTTCGAATCCTTCTAGAGCCAAAACTCATATTTTTATCTGATTATCGCGACTTTCTTGTAGATCGCCGGTGAAGGATTAAGCAACCAGAATCGCTGGATCATCAACAAAAATTTCATCAACACGATTCGCGGAGCATTGTTACTAAAATTGCTGAAGGATTCGCGATAAAAGGATCACGAATCTATCGAGTAAATCATCTCCGCTTGATCGACAAACAAACTGTCGTCGGGAAGAGGATGATCCACTGAGAGACGAGTCGCCACCTCCTGAGAGCGTACCAGATGCGATGAAGAGCCTCCTCTTCCTGCGCGGACCTGAGGATGAAGCTCTCTGACACGCGCCCCACCTTCATCCAGCTCCTCTCCATCAGGTGGCAGCCGCCAGAGAGTCGCAAAGTCGCCATTTTTCTGCTCCGCCGGGTGACAGCCGCTAAAGATGATTTGACGACCCACTTCATTGATCTCTAGACTTCACAAGGAGATCTAAAGATTGCCCACATCGTCTTTGTCTAAAGAGAGCCTTCAAGGTTGTGGACACTGCACGACAATCCTCCCGAATGCTCAGGATTTCGGTGCATCGCCGACGCATCGCCGCTGCAACGCCGGAACTCTATTTTCTTGCTTTCAACTTAACTTACGCTTCATTTAGTGATATTTTGTGTGATTTTAATTTACCAAAATATACTTCGTTCAATTACGATTCTTCTGGCTTTTACAGATCTTAATTTGATTAATTAAATCATCTGTAATCGCTTACGTAAGAATCGCCAGGCGGAACTCTATTTCCGCCCGATTCGCGTTCGCCGCGCGCTGATGTCATCCTGACGTCCGCACCCTTAGTTCTTTTTTTTTGTGAATTTTAAATATATTTCCTTTTTATTTCTTAGTATAAAATTCATAGAAAATCGTATTCATTGAGAAAAAATCTGAATACCAAATATTATATTACATCTTTATGATCGACTTAGAAAATTAACGCTATTTTTGGAAGTTTTATTGAATTATAATTGATATATTTGTTCAGAAATACTTCTAAATATCTGAAAAATCATATTTTCTAGTTTTATAAATTTTAGATTTGCGTGATTTAATATACAACGACTGAGTCACGTCATTCACCTATATGAGAGAGAGAGAGTTAAATAACTATCGAATATCCTTGTCAAATGACGTCATAAAGGTGTATCCTTCTTATCATTGAAGATTATTTGAGATATATAAAAAATATAAAGAAACTTGTTAATGACCACCAGCATGAGTTTACTCTCACATTAGTTACTTTTCGATATTTGAGACATATATAATAATACATCTTTGTAGTCAATATTGTCCTCTCACGTGTATATGACCACTCCTTTCCCCACGCCCGACTAGCCACCAGTGACGTAGAAGGGGAGTGACACACGTTCCCCAAATTGGTCCTTAGCCACTTGTACACTTTGCTTGTGGCTTTACTTGACTATGCTTTCGACTCGCTTGTGAGTTTGGCTCGTCATTGGGTCCCCCAACTATGCTTCTGACCTATTTGTGGGCTTGATTAATTAGGGGTCTCCCTTTTTTTATTTTTTTATTTTATTTTATTTCTCTTTATTGTATCTCAAAATATGATTATAAAAATGATATAAAATCACATAATTAGTTAAAAATTCACATTAATCAACTAAAAATCACATAATATGTCTTATTAGCCACATAATATAAAATCACATGACTTTTCTCAATTTAACACAAATATAAGTCTATTTATCATGAATTAAAACTTAAAATATATTATTAACAAATTATTAACTCATGATAATGAAAACTTATTAGTCATTGATTTTTACTTTTTAGAAGTTCATGAGATTGTAGTTGTGAATATTGAAAAAAAATCCACTAATAATTTTCTAATCATCTATAGAATCGACTCAATCACTATCACTAAAATCAAAATATTAAAATAAAGTGACATGTTAATATTAATTTCATACATGATGATCCCCTGAATATAATGAAGAACATATTTCACAACTCCAAAGTGATGAACTGATGGAGAATGCATACAAAATCATGTTAACATGAAACATTATATTAGGTAAACTATGAGTTAAATAAATTGCCACTAATCAAGTTTTTATAAAAGTGTCCATTTATTTTTGTAGTCCCATGATCAAGACATAATTTTTCATTATTATTCATTAGAGTAGAAAAAGTCTTGCAATTAAGCATATTACATTTCTTGTGCAGATCAAATACATAGTTCCCTTGTGAAATACATATACCTACGTTTGTTATGCATACCATTTTCACCCAATCTTACTTTATAATTTTGTACATTTTTATTGAACTTATACTTCACTTCATAAACTCATTTGACATTGATCATTTAACTTCTTGACAGTAGATCTACTAACTCCCATGTGTCATTTTTATTAAATTGAAATAATTTCTTCTTATATTGCCATCTTTCACAAATCTTTCTCTTGTTCATCCTCATAACTTTGTAGTTTTACATCCATAAGATTGAAGTACATAATTTATAAATTTCACTTAAGAACCTCAACTTTTTTAGAGAACTCAATGAATCTAGACTTGAATCATTACAATCATTAAACCACAATAGTCAATGATAACACATGAATAATGCAAAGGAATATGCCTTTAACTTAGTTAATTGTACATTTCTATGATATTATTAATGTGTTGTTCACATCGATCTTTATGATTTTTGATATGTTTCAAGGTATCTTAATATTAAATATTTCTTAGAATTTTATGAGATTAGTCTCCTCATACACATTTGGGTGACTTCTTAAATAGGATTATTATTGACATTGAGTATGCTTTTGTGAGTTTACTAATTATTTTTCAGAAATTTTAGGAATTTATGCCTCAAGTCGTTGTTGTTTTATAAATGGCTGCGATGCAGCAGCCTAACCATTACTTGCTAGAGTGAGGAGGGAGCCTTGTGGTAGGAGAAAGA